TCCATGTATTCACGGTGCGTGTGTCGGGTCCATCGTTGTAGTGAGAGGAGCTTCAACAGTGACTGGGACTTGCGACCTAGGTGAAGGTTTAAGGGACCCCTATCTAACGCGTTAAATGATCACCTCCACCGTCCAAGCATCTCTCTTTATCAACCACAATTTGAATCGTACTAATATTTTAAAACGAAAGTTTCTGAGGATCTGCTGAATGAAATTTCATAAAACTTTACAGTTATATACTTAAGACAAAATGAAACATAATTTTATATGTAGCTTTAATTTATCCATTAATTCCGCCTCACAATAGATGGCGTTGGCGATCGTTTCATTAATATATTTAAATTACAATAATTGAATAATTTATTGGATAATTTTGTCTTAAATACCAAAGTGCCAAAAATATATATATATACATATTTTCGAAATGAACAGAAACATTCAAAATTAATGATACTTCCTTGTTATGTATTACGTGCACAAGTTATTAATACAAACACAGTCGGAGTAATCTCCCGGTAATATGTTTGTAAATAGTTCTCTCTGGATATATTAAGAATACGACATACCAACATACACTACGTTTTCCTGTAATATATAGGGTGACTGGTGAATTACTATCAATATTTAAGGAGAATACTCGGTACATGATTCTCATTCGAATGATGTAAAAAAAATAGGTACTTAATTTTTGACCAAATTTCCGTATAAATAAATAAAGTGTGTACACGTTCCAAGTGTTCCAAGTGTGGACGCGTGCGGCGGCGTGCTGATACAACAACACGCCGCCGCGCGCGAGTGTGTGTGTGTGTGTGTATACCTAATCTGTAGGGTGTTCATACGATGCGTAGTTAATTACATAACTTTTGGTTAACTTTACTTAGAAGTTCATTAATATTTATGTTATATTAATCTTTATTTTGTCATATATGATCGTCAAATATCACGTCCTCAAATATCGATAGTAATTCACCAGTCACCCTGTATATATAACCAGCTTTCCGCCCGCAGCTTCGCCCGCGTGGAGTTCGGTTATATCGCGTTTCCAAGAGAACCTTTCAAAAGTCTGGGATCTTGTTGTTCTTTCTCAAGGTCGACTCTATCTCTGTACCAAATTTCATTAAAATCAATTCAGTGGTTTAGGCGTGAAAGCGTAACAGACAGACAGACAGAGTTACTTTCGCATTTATAATATTAGTAGGGATATATCACTATAGGTACAAATAATCCCTACCTTATGATCAGTTATGTAAAAGTTAAAAAAGAAGTCGAAAACTATAATTAAAATAATAATGCATAGTAAATAAAAATTACATAACAATAATAAAATAATATAGAACATGTTAAAAGAAATCAATTAAATGAATAAATATGTTTAAAATTTGTAAAAAAATTACATTATAAATTGAGGGAACATTACCTATGTATATACATATTTACTTAGTTCTTTACAAATAAAATAATATTTAAAATTCCGTTTAAATCACATTAATTAATATATGTACATTATATTACATTCAATATTATATTATGTAGTTAACAATAATATGAAAAATAAAGGTAAGGGTAAGGTACATTAATTTGGTGAAAAACTTTTTGAAAGAACCCGAAGAAAATAACTGCATTTTTTAAAATCATAATTAATAATATGATTAGGGTTTTTCACATACAACCAAAAAAAGAAATATAAATGTATGTATATGTACCAAATATAAGCATTTTAATAATAAAGAGGTAGTATGGAATTAACGCTGTGATTTATTATTATATGTACTGTATTTTGTGCAAATATTTCTATTCTAAAATTGTAAATTTATTTAACAATATAGGTATATGTAAATTAAAATAATATTTTTCGTATTACTACATACGCGTATTTTATTATTATAAACTACATACTAAGAGTATTGAGACATCACTGATTAATGTTGATTCCCAAAAAGAGGGTTGATGTCAGGCAGGCGGCCGGTCGTAAAAAAAAATAGCCAAAACTATTCACACCATGTAAGGCAGACCCTGGCTATAGCTGGGAAAATGCCAGGTAGAAGAAGAAGAAGAAACTACATACTCCCGACGTTTGATCATGTGATCACGAAAACGATATGAGAATTTAGTTTTTGAATAATTGCGAAAGTATTATATATTAGATCTTATTATATATGTATTAGGAAAATAATAAAAGTATATACATTAAAACATATTAAATGTAAATTGAACAACGCTTAGCTTAAAGATTATTCACAGTGAAATGAGGGAAATTATTTCAATCAGTTTTATTCTCTTTACTTTAATCCAAGGTCTTTTGAATTGCTCTTGCCAATAATCAGATTGCGAATATTTCGTTGATAGTAAACATTTTTTCATTTGATGAAGGTCGTATTGTGTCTCACAACAAAATGTTCCTACTTTATATTCTTCTTCTACCTGGCAAATTCCCAGCTTTAGCCAGGGTCTGCCTACTTTATATTATAAATGAGAAAGTATGTCTGTCTGTGTGTTTTCACGGTTAAACATTTGAACCGATTTTGATGAATTTTCGTTTAGAGATAGATGAAACCCCAGGGTTTCCCTTCTCCAGAGAAGGACTTCATCTTCAGCCTATCAGAGCCCACTGCTAAGCCTCTTCTCATACGGAGAAGGTTTGAGCATTAATCACTACGCTTACTCAAAAAGGGTTGGTGATTTCAAACTAATAATTTGATACAAGTCCTTGTTTCCTCACGATGTTTTCCTTCATCATAGTCAGTGATGTCTAAATACTCTTATAAAGTCCATATGATTCGGAAAAATCACATTGGTACTTTCCAAGTTTCGAACCCGCGCTCTCATGCACGACAGGCAGGCCTTTAGCCTCTAGGAAACTTCTAGCCTCTAGGGTATACACTTATGCAGTGTACACTTAAATTAAACTTTCCATGAATTGCTACCTGGACCCAGCCTTGACTACACTTAACAGAGATTAAAGGAAATTTTTCTACTATTATATTAACTACTCACAAAATTCCATATTTCTTATAATCTCTTTGTAATCTTGAATTAAGACAATATGCTTCAGTGTGACAAAGAACTTTTGATTTTAGATCAAAACAATGCATTAAAGGAAATTGTACAATGTAATAATGTCTTTACAATAATAATAATAATAATAAATAATCTATTAAGTTGTGATATTTGAAAATTGCTTGATGATTCAAAATACTAAATTTGATTTTAATCTTTAACAATTTGATTCGTACATAATTTTAAGATCCCTACTAATATTATAAATGCGCAAGTAACTCTGTTTGTCTGTCTGTCTGTTACGCTTTCACGCCTAAACCACTGAACTGATTTTAATGAAATTTGGTACAGAGATAGAGTTGACCTTGACAAAGAACATAGAATAGTTTTTATCCCACACTTTTGGAAGGTTCTCTTGGAAACGCGATATAAACGAACTCCATGCGGACGAAGCTGCGGGTGGAAAGCTAGTAATCTATTAACTTAAAATAATGATATACTATAATATTTGTCGTTAGATGAATCCTATGTCAGGATGCACCCTTATTACAAGTTTCATAGTTTAAATCAAAACGTACAGTTGTGAGTTATTACGATAAACTATCGGTATCATGTTAACTCAGCGAATTCATATATGGTGTGCTGTCGAAGTGCATCCAGAGACCGCGTGGGAGCAAACACAAATAAATGACCCACTTCTATGACATTTTTTTAAAGATCTCGTAACATAGAGATTACATTTTAAATTTATTATTAAAACAGATGATTTTCTTAGTTAGGTAGGTTAAAATTTAATTTGCAGCTTGGTATTCTGTAATAAGTTATACACTCTAGCCTATGAAGAATCCAATTTATTATTGGAGGGAAATATTACCAGGCAAACTGTTCCAATCCTTTATTATGCTCATGAGGAAGAAGGAAGGAAGAAGGGTATTGTTTCGTCCGGATGTGGAGAAGGTTTACAACGAAAGAAATTCCCTTGGTGGGTCTATTTGTCCAATGATAGAGACTTGATAAAATATAATGATACAATTCCCTACAATTCCTGTTCACAGTCTACGAAGTATATAATGTCAAGACATTGATCTGGTGGCAAAAGATTTAGGCCGTAATATGTGGTCATCCGTGTCGAGAATCATTGTAGTTTTACCAGTAAAAAAACATAACAACAAGATGAAATTCAGCGAAACTCTTAGCATTATTTACTAAAAAGACTGTTTTAGATGTTTCTGACACAATGTCTATCACCATTATTTCGTGTTCCATAAATTTATTAAGTTCTCCAATTAATAAATACAACGTTACATCTATTTAGCATATACAGACAGTTTTTTACGTATTAATGGGACAGTTTAGACCATCTCGCTTCTAATTCAGATTGTGGCTGTAAAGTATTAAATAGGCTATTTTATACATATAAATGAGATAAATAACAATGAAGTTTTTTTTAACGATAGATAATAATGCTGTGTCTTTAATATATAAAACTAATAATTTTATTAACTCCTGGAAATACATAATGGCTTTTTATTAAATGAACTAAATTGTTATATTCCAGAATTCACAAATGTAGATTCTGCTCGTATTATTCTTCATTGTATATTTTCTATTTTAATATCTATGTGGACATCGCTTTTAAGTTAATGGTAAAGAAAAGTAATTTAATTTTCAAGTGTTTTTATAGACAGAAGTAGTTAATACCGATATTTTTAAGGGTCTACAATATTCCTCATCAATCCTCGTTTCCTATTCATCACACCCTGATGCTGTACAGGCTATAACCTTCATCTATTAATGTACTACATAACACTAGAAGAATTTTACAAACAACACTATTATTTTCTGAGATTACTGTATACAAACAAACAGACATATTATTAATAAATGGTCACATTTTAATGACATATTTTCTTTGTTTCAGGTCTATTGACAAATTCAGAATATAGCTTCACAAGCGGTTATTGCTAGAAGATTATAAAAAAAAGATAGAAAAAGAAAGAGATATGTCTCTTGTTGCTCCAAGAAGAGTCCAACTGGATTGGGCTCATTCCATACCATGGTAAGAGAATTATATAATAAAAAAGAGAATCGCATAAGTTAGGGGAGAGTTGGATAATACCACGCGGTTGATAACTCCGTGCGTCAGCGTAATTCAGAAACTATCCACTAGTTTGCGCTGTAGTGCGTATTCATCGAAGCCGGACATGCCCACACCCACCCCCGCGCACCGCCATTACGATCCACGCGACGACGCAGGTAGCACACGCTCTGGAAGTTTTATTCGTCATTCCTTATAATTTTTCGTATACTTTCGATAAGAGGTAAGTAATACTGTATTTATATTATAATACTTTCATACTATACTTTTTGAATGCTTGTGTACTGTAGAATTAATGTCAAAGTAAGTTTTTACGGGCTATAATATTTTCCTCATAATTTTGAGGTTAAAAAATAAAATGATCGAGTTCGATAATTCCGCGCTGGGGGCGCGGTATTATCAGTCGAGGGCGCGAAATTGTAAACTATGAAAAGTACGTTTTATTTACATTAACTTCTCTTAACATCGACAAAAGAGTTTGAACTTATTTGAATCTGTTTGTGGTATTTTATATCTAAAGCAAAAATACCAATTTTGATCAATTTATTGAGTTTAAGATAAACAATTGTGTGTGGCATCGATTGTTGTGATTTTTATGACTTGCCTTTTTATGAAAATAAAAATAATATAATAAATAAATATAATGCCTACTTACAAATTATGATAATATAGCTTTATGTATTATTTCCGTTTTAGATGGACCAATCTGTGCCAAAGAAAAAGAAAAAGTCATGGAATCCCGAAAATTTGAAGGTTGCACTTGAAGCTATACGAAACGGGAGCAAAATAAAGGCAGCTGCTAGAAACTTTGGAATCCCCGAATCTACAATTAGGGATCGACTTAAGTTGGGAGAAAATTATGAACCCCCCATGGGGAGAAAGGCCACATTTACACAAGAAGAAGAGAAAGAAATGGTCTCATTTATTACTTTAATGGCAAAAAAGTTTTATGGGATAACTCAACAACAGTTGCGTAAATTGGCATATGACTTTGCCATTGCAAAAAATATTAAAAATATTTTTTCGTTAATTGTATTTGTATTTTTTTATTATTAATTTTATTATCTACCCATTTGTGTGCAATTAATGTGGGCACGATTTTATCAACCCTGGGCACGATATTATCGGACCAGTTTGATAATACCGCGCCTGTAGTTATTTTTGTAACATGACGATAATTATTTTTTGTTTGAATTTTGGAAGTTTTTGTTATACGGTATGCGTACCTGAATAAATGTCCTAATGGTCACAAAATTTTGTTTCTTTTAAAATCAAACAGTTTCCTAATTATAAGTGAAATTCCTTAGGGGCGCGGTATTATCCAACTCTCCCCTACTTCTTATTATATAAGGTATCTGCTAATGAAAGTCTCATCAAAATCAGTCGAGTCGTTTCAGAGATAATCCGTAACAAGCAAATAGATAGACAGACAAACGTTGTTAAAAAATGATATTCTATTTCAATATTAAGAACAGGAAGATTTACTTTATATATACGAACTCTATTCCGACCTAGAGGCCGTAAATAACAAGATATTGGAATTATTGGAATTCAATAAATATTTTTTGGACAGAACAAAATTAAATATCCTATGACCGTCTCCTTGTTCTAATCTATCTCTCCACCAATTTTCATTTATATCCGTACAGTCGTTCTTGAGCTATAAATAGTGTAACTAACATGACTTTCTTTTATATCTAAAGATACATGTCCTATTAAATCCAGATTAATTAAAATAATCTACATTTGTATTTCAAAATCTATTTCAGCCTAAATCAATTTCTAACATAAATTCATATTTAAATTATAGAAACAAAAATATACGAACGAAAAATTTGCATTATGTATCAATAAATATTATAAACGCGAATGTACATGGATACCATTATGTTTGTCGCTTTCTCACGTCAAAACTGCTGAATTGATTTTGATGAAACTTCACAATAATATAGCTTACTTATCAGAATAAGATATAGGCTGTAACTTATCCTGGAACTACTTGTAGTTATCACGGAAACAACGTAAGAATTGTATAGTGTATTAAGTCACGTGAAACAATATAGATGGCGCTGACAGTTGGTTTTGACACTACACTTAATGAAATCTAAGACTCGCGAGCATTCATTTAAATGAAACTAATATTATCCGTATTACTACGCGTTTTTTATTATTTTAAACTACATACTCCCGACGTTTCGGTTACTTTTCAGCAATGACGGACAGACGAGATGTGAGTGTCTATATTTACTCTATATGCTTGTGTCTGGTCAAAACTCTGATGTTCACGCAGACGGAGCCGCGGGAAAAACTAGTGTATTAATAAATATACACTGATATAAAGTTACCTAAATGAAATAAAAAAATTAATGGAGATAATTTTTTTGAAAAATATTTGGATGTTGTTGAAGTCTGCCCCAAGTTTCCCGCTCTTTACTTGCATATAATCTATATTTTCTGAAATAATTTTCAAATTAAAAAGTCCAAATAATAATACTTCAATTGATTTTATTCACCTGTATTTAATATTAAAATATGTATGATTTTGTTTGAAAAGAAATCTACTGATTTCTTAATTTAAAATAGGTACATTGTCGACAAGTCACTTTTTTGTGTAGGTACCTATTTCTTCTACAATATGAAACAAGTATCCCGAAAACTCAAAATGCCTGAATATAAACTTCCTATGTTACTTTCAAAGTAATAATGACGATACATTAATGACAAATATCTTTTAGTATAAATGTACTTCTATACATTTTTACTATTTAAACTTAATGGATTGAATTTCTGTAACATTTTTTTAAATAAATTAATAATATATTATGCGTCTAAGTTACGTATTTAGTGACACACTGTTTAAAGTAAAATTTAACTGGTTAAAAATGTTAAAATTTTTACCATTAATGAACGACATCTAGATTTCTTACATGAGTTCAACATTTTGGGTTCTAATATTTTTAGATATTACAGAATATATAACAATATCTTGAATTACTTAAAATTTATTATTTAATTATACTTCCACAATCATCAAAATTTATTATTTTACCATTTTAATAGTAATAATGATGAATAATTCTATTATTCTTAGTAACTCAAGATTCTTAAACCAAAGGCTTAAGAAACAGCGACTATAGACTTAAACTCAATCGGAAACATACTAGAGGTCTATAACTATGACATTATACAGAAAAAACTATTTAAATAATAATAACTGATAAAGATATCAAACCTTTTTTTTATATTAAGCAAAAAAAGTAAAGTGAAAAGTAATTAAAACAGAGGTCGTTGAACTCATAGAAACGAACTTCATTCTCAACGAAAAAACCCGTCAGCTGAGCGGATCTCGCGAACTTCGCGTCAAAGACATCTGTCATGGCTCCGCGATCGATTTACGTGCCGTGCTAAAAACTAAAGAAAATACGAAAAATATGTCGCGCGTACCGTTAAAAAAACTCGCGAGCGTTGCGGAAAAGGTTTTAATAACAAAACATTAAATTAAAACACAGCAGTTCGCTTGTTGAGTGTATTTTCTGTGATTTTTCAGCGTATCTAAATTTATTCTGCACGACCTATCTCGGTTTTCTGGGTGAGTTGACCAAATTTAAAAGGCGATTGTGATATCGTTTTCACTGTATTATTTTACATTTATATTAAATTATTGTGTTTTACAAATTTTATTACAATAATTCCCTTTGATTTGTTGAAAATCGATTATATGTGGGTGGGATAGCACGAAATATGGCTTTCTCGTTTCATTATAACTCGACCGATTTAAAAAGTGACGTAACTCTATGTTACCGCATAGCGTCATAGTGCAGACGATTTGGTCGGGTTCTTACGACTGTCTCTTTCCAGCCTATAATTTTAAAAATCATTAAATTTTATATATTTTTCTTTCATTCATCCAATTTAATTATTAGTTTATCTTTATTTGTATATAATAATTATTTTCTATATGTTCAGTTTGTGTTTAAAATAATGTTAAACCTTTCTTATTGGATTTTAAATAGATTTATCGCGCCTCGGTTTTCCCTTTTTTTTTCGCCGTTCGATCACAAATATGACCTTAAGAAATTTTATCTGGTTTCCTTTTAAAACTCATTTATCGTAATAATGTATATATGTATGTACGAGCGTTATTTTTAATATTTGTATATCTTTGTTTTGTGGTCTCCTTATTATAATTATATTTTATTATATAACATACTAGCTAGTAATTACTTCTTTGCCCCCATATTAAATTGTTTTACATGCTCTTGTTACCATTATTAGTTTTTATTCGATTTCTCGAAGATTCCTTCATTAGATTCTGACTTAGTGTCAAGATAACTTCCCATGTAAAATGTCCTTTAGTTTAAGAAAATAATTTCGTCAATCGGCCCGGTAAATTATTTAAAGGAGGAATAGTATAACAAATATTTAGTCAGATTATAAACTTTTTCGTTTTTAAACATAGTGAAATGCTAGTGAAATTCCCTTCAAAATAGCTCAAGCCATTCCAGAGATTAGTGGGAACAAATAGAGAAATAGACAAAAATATTTATATCTTATATATTGTATTTACTTATATATGGCTTGATGAAAAGCTTATCATTTAAAATTACAAACGGACACTTCAATTTTATATATACATGCACATATAAGTAAAGTTTGAAATTAATATATATGACTTAAATTTTATTGTATCTATCTTCTTATCTTATCAAAGTATATGAAATAATGAATGCCTTAAATAATAAGCCATGATTTGTTACTGGTTGATGGATAAATTGAAGTAGAAGTGGTACCTCCAAGTCTTAGGATGACGAGACGGTTTCAGATATCTTCAAATATTATTATTTTCTTATAAATTTTCTTAAAAAAGCCTTAATTTATGAATAAAAAGAGTTATTGTGAAGTCATTGCATATACATGTGCATTGTCATGTATTCAATAAGAAATAATTATTAATAGATTTTTTTAAATATTATATACTTCCAAAAATTATTAAATTAGACGAATTAATTGATTAATCGCTTAAAATAAATGTATTATATAGGAGAGTTATCAGATCGTTAAAAAAAATGTAATTATTAAGATTAAATAAATATTTTCCAACATGCCATCTATTTATTGTGATAGTCAAATGAATTTGTGTTAATTTTATTTGTAAATCTTTAGTGTTTATTAATAATTAATGAATTATTTTAAGAAAAATATTATTTAATGAGACAAAAGTAATTTAAAAGGGTGTATTTATTTTCACTTTGATAGAAACCAGTAAAGTTTTTATTTTCTAATAATATTATTAATAAATATATATGTTAATATATACATATATATATTTTAGGAGTCCAGTTGTTTAGGAGCACAGTGACATACATACTTATAGTAGAATATATATATTATATATAAAGATTATTGTAATAAAGTTGTGTTTATTGTATGAGATGTTAGTGATATATGCATTACCAATCCCCGTTCTTCTTAAAGCCATACTCTTAAGACAACACGCTCGTAGAAGTTCCCGCAAGCATTATTTCCATTTGGCCGGTTGGTTTCCTGAGTATAATTTTTTCATACTTAGCTTATCTTCTATTAAGATTTGGGAGTATAGGTTGAGGGTTTTTGTTGAAAAAGGATTAAGTTGGTAGACTATCATGGTTTTGAGCTGACCTCCAATGAAATGACAAACAGACTTTTAAAATCATAACTAAATAAAAATTTTATATGGTTAAAATAAACCTAAACATTAATTGTTATTCAACGATTATACAATTATATGGAGGAATTTAATCTAGTACTCACAGAGCAAAAATGCTTTCCATCATTTTGGTGAAGAGCTGATACTCACGCTGCTGGACCGATATTAACCAAACAAAGCTAAGAAACAGCTCAAGGTAACTGGCTATCAAATGACAAAACCGAATCAAAATCGGGCTATACGTTTGAGAGCTAAGATGACACATACAGACGTCTAGGTCTATCTTATAACACTTCTTTTGGGGGGGAGGGGGTTTAAAATCCAAAATGACGGACAGTATTTGTTTGTTTTAAGGCTATATAAGTATTACATTGTTATGTCATATATTTAATATTAAGAAACGTTTTTAAATAAATCGTTACTACTGCAGTATTGAATATTATTATACTACTACTACTATAGAATTTAGTATAACAATGTGTGTTATGTTGAACAGATTATCCTTCAACATATAAAGGCTACATCCATATGACTTACACAAGTTTTTTAAACATACTTTAATAGTGTATTTATAAATTTTCACATATACAGGGTGACTGGTGAATTACTATCGATACTTGATGACGTGATATTTGACGATCATATATGACAAAATAAAAATTAATATAACATAAATATTAATAAACTTCTAAGTAAAGTTAACCAAAAGTTATGTAATTAATTACGCATCGTGTGAACACCCTACAGATTAGGTATACACACACACAGACACGCGCGTGCGGAGGCGTGGTCCACACTTGGAACACTTGGAACGTGTCAACACTTTATTTATTTATACGGAAATTTGGTGAAAAATTAAGTACCTATTTTTTTTACATAATTCGAATGAGAATCATGTACCGAGTATTCTCCTTAAATATTGATAGTAATTCACCAGTCACCCTGTATATGTATTAACGTGGTTTAATAGCGAACACACAAAAAAATTTACTTGATTTAAGACTTGATGTTGCTTTAAGCCTTTTTTTACCCTTGGTTTACTTAGTGAGATTGTATTTTTAACCTTTAAGCCACCTACCTATCTTATGTCATAATCGATAATGGTCTAATTTAAGTACAATTAATTACCCGCTCAACCTTAAACAACCTTTAGTCTGATATAATAAATATCACGTAAATATAATGAGATCTAAGACAGTTATTCTCATCTCGTCTGTCCGTGATTATTGCTGTAAAGTAGCTGAAACGTCGGGAGTATGTAGTAAAAAATATGTAAAAAAACATAGTACATATGAAACTAATATTTTTTTAATATAAATTACTAGCTGCGCCCCGCTGTGTTACTGTGTAAAGTAGCCTATGTGTTATTCCTGGACGTCAGCTTCCTGTATACAAAATTTTATCAAAATCGGTTCTGCCGTTTGAGCGTGAAGAAGTAACAAACATACACGAACTACCAAACTTTCGCAATTATAATATTAGTAGGATGTATAACAAGATAAAAAAATTGAGAACATTCTAGTTAGTCATAAATTTTAAGAGTAAAGTCAAATGTACCTTTCTCAATAAAGGAAGACATACTCCTCGGAATTCTGTAGGATATTTATTTCCTGTACGCTGTAACCTAGTATTGATTTTCCTGCTTTAAGTGTAAAATATTTCTTAGTTGTTCAAACCAGGGAAATGTAGGAAATCACGTGTACAAAAGTAGTATGTTCTATCCACCGATGTCCCCGGGAACACGATTTGATCGATACCCCTACCTCCCTAGTATAAAATTAGCATAAACCTGCATTATGAATATAAAAATAGTTTTTATTAAATAACGTTACTATGGCGAGGAACTTTTGATGGGTAAAGGTTTTGATGATGGAAGAAACGTTTTTGTCATGGTGATATATAAACATGACGGTATCCCTACTAATATTATAAATGCGAAAGTAACTCTGTTTGTTAAGCTTTCTCGCCTAAACCACTGAACTGATGTTAATGAAATTTGGTACAGAGATAGAGTAGACCTTGAGAAAGAACATAGGATAGTTTTTATCCCAGACTTTTGAAAGGTTCTCTTGGAAACGCGATATAACTGAACTCCACGCGGGCGAAGCTGCTGGCGGAAAGCTAGTTATTATCATAATATTTTACAACTAGGACTTCAATAGTTGTAACTTTTGTATCATCAAGAGCACATTTATCTTCTATTCTATAGTAATATATTTTGCTAAAAAGATGTCTTTTGATCTATAACTTAACACACATAAAAAACATTAGTAGACCTGACCTGACTTGATAGACCTTGACCTATCAAAAAGTTCAGAATAAGCGGCTAGGTGTGGCATATAGTAGTAAACTCCTTATTTCCGATATAGGCATATAAACCCAATAAAAGCAAAAAAATATACAACGTTACTTTAGAATTATGAGTCTTTCTTAAACGATCTTGAAGGTGTACGATCTACCTGAACAACTGACAGAAAACTGTCAAACCATTGACATTAATTAAAAATGTTCAGCTAGAAGGATATTTCAAAAAAAGTTTGCAATACAGTCAATTGGTAAATCTTCGCTCATTTTTTTAATATTCTGTCATAACACACAACAACCAAAAAAAAATATAGTGAAATTTGTCCAGCCGTTTGTATGATGTCGTGACCAAAGGATATAGGGATTAATTTGTATATATATAGGTGTCTTGAATGGATAAATTAATTTATTAAAATGTCTTGAAGAAATCCGTTTTAGTATAATATTACTTGGTTGCATATAATTCTTCAGGTAAATCAATTCAAATGACTACTGTATCAATACTACTTTCAACCTCTGTGAAATTGTCCCTACTAAGTTTATCTGTTGTATTCAATCTATAAACTTTATATTCTTCATTATTTTCAGGGAACAGGACCCAGGCTGCGAGCGAGATCAGTCATTCAAACGGATAGCGCCGCCTGAAAATAGATCAGGTACCTTCTAGAATCTCCTATCACTAGTTCTGCTTTCAGAATTAAAGAAGAGATACAGATGTACATTATATTTCTTTGTGTTTATATTCAAGTTTTGGTGATGCTTTATTTCAGAATCGTCTTCATCATCAGCAGACACTGAATCTCAAGGTTCGGGTTCAGCGCCTGCGCCCAGATCACGTAGAAATGAACCACAGGTAAATAAGATATACATACATCAAAAAAGTGAAAAAAAGTATACTATTTTTTGGCAGTTTTTATTGGAAATACGAAAGAAATACCGTAATTTTTTGGTTCATTTTACTGTTTAATAGCTGAAACTTAATTGCTTGTAAGAATATCAAATATTGTGGGATTAAAAAATGCTGCCGAATAAATATAAGATCTATACTATTGTTATACTAGAACTATATAATTTACGCAATCTTCTATACAATAATTAATATTGCGAATAATGAAATTAAGCAATGAATTTATCATTACTAAAGCAAAACACCAATTCGTTTTCTCTAAAAACACTTTAAAACGTTTACTGCTGCGCGGAAACCACAAATTACTACTTAAAATGCGGTCGGCCTGAAAAATTCCGTTTCTACAATGATTTAACATAGTTTCTTTAGTTTATGTGTTATTTTATGTGTGTTTGTTTGACAGCAGAGGGAAGAACGGCGGGTGGAAACCGCTTGCCCTCTCCGAGTACAACCGAACCCTTTATTAAGGTAATAATTAGTTAGGAAATAGCATAAGACTTGATCAATATCTTTTGTAATCTTCTACTGGCCTAAATCTTCTATTTCTATCAGCCTAAAAGGCCCTAGCTACTTATGATATAACATGTTTTCCTCTCTGTCAAAATAGCATAATTCCTCATCAATATTTGTTGGAATCATCTTCTACTAGCCTAAAAAACCCTACTAGTAATATTATAATTTGTTTCCCTCTCTCTTTTTGAATCGTCTACTATATAAGAAGCCCTACCTGCTTATAATATAAGAAGTTTTCCTCTGTCTATCAAAGTAGCATAATTCTTAATAATATCTTTTGTAATCTTCTGCTGGCCTAAATCTTCTATTTCTACCAGCCTAAAAGACCCTACTAGTAATATTATACTTTGTTTCCCTCTCTCTGTTTGAATCTTCTACTATATAAAAAGCCCTACCTATATTAGTAATATACCGTGTTTCCTTTCTATTCCACTTGATTCCTGTGACGTCAGATCCCGGACGCTCCCGAACCTCAAGGCAGCGTCCCGATCTGCGTCCCGCTGCGACACATCCCGCCGAGCTCATCACATCACGATGGCGAGCGAGGATCTGCTGCAGCCAGGGCATGTGGTCAAGGAGAGGTGGAAGGTTAGTGGGTTATTGGCACACAAATAACACAAACATACATACAGTTCATCTGATATAACGCCAAATGATAGAATCAATGAAAGTAAACAAAAGATGCAATTGTCCTAATTATGACGTGGCAACCGCAGGTTTCAGGAAAACTATGAAATACTTATATGTATATAATAGTAAGAATTACATATTAAAACTTATAACCTACACCTAAGACTACACGATTGACCCGATGTTATGATAGCAATACCATTCCATAGCTTGTGTGTATCAGGAATCTTCTGGTTCACACGGCTTCGTGTTCGTTCCGCGGAGTCAGCGGCGTCAAGAGTTATATGATGTTTTACCAATACAGAGATGTCGACCGGGGATGTTAATTTTTTTTCTTCATATGTAGCGCGTACGTAACATCCTCGATCCTCATAGTTTTATTTACAAAATTTATCTCGTCTCGTTGGACCAAATATCCTATATAAATCTAACTGCTGGACCTCTGTTTCAAATAATCAGGTTGTAAAGAAAATCGGCGGCGGCGGTTTTGGTGAGATTTACGAGGGTTTGGATCTGGTGACCCAGGAACAGGTCGCCCTCAAGGTGGAGTCAGCGCGCCAACCGAAACAGGTGCTGAAGATGGAAGTCGCTGTTTTGAAGAAACTCCAGGGTGAGAGAAGAATACTTAATAACCAATATATATAGTATTACTAGCTACAACCCGCGGTGTTACCCGCGGATTTCCGGGTTGTAAAGTAGCCTATGTGTTATTCCTGGACGTCAGCTTCCTGTATACAGAATTTTATCAGAATTGGTTCAGCCGTTTGACCGTGAAAAAGTAACAAACATACACACACACTCATAAACTTTCGCAATAATATTAGTAGGATAATGTCTGTTTGAAGAAATCTACAATTATTATCCGAGTTTAGGTGTAGTTTAGGGAGTTTTTTTGCAAAATTTATTAAATATTAACCAAATTAAGTAGAGCAGTGATAATGAATTAGATAAAGTTAATAGATGCATCTGATGTATGTTAAGATAATTTCAAAAACAATAACAATAACGGTTAATTTGTTTCTTTAGAGATGAATTTTTATTTTATTTTCCATTGTACTATTACTTAGCGTTTTAATTTTCTAGTTGCTTTTGGATATTGTCATATAGGTTGCTGGTTGCAATTTTGGTTGTGTCGAGGCAATAATGTCTATAATTTTAAAAATCTAAAACGTACTGCTTTTTATCTTGCTACGTAAGAAACTGTTAATCCCATCCTTATTAATCCTGGTATCAATATTGTTACTATCCTATCCCAGGTAAATATTCTATCCCTGGTATAAATTACCTGAACCATCATTTCTCAGGTAAGGAGCACGTGTGTCGTTTCATCGGTTGTGGTCGTAACGCTCGCTTCAACTACGTGGTGATGCAGCTCCAGGGTCGGAACTTGGCGGAGCTGAGGAGGTCCCAGCCGAGAGGAGCCTTCTCATTATCTACTACCCTCAGGTAAAAAATTTTTGAGGTTTTTTACCCTTAGGGTCCATAATAATAGGGTCTTTGCCGGCGATTTTTTTCTCATAGACCAAAAAATCATGTTCGTACGGACATAGTGACAACCTTCTGTAACGAAAATGTAAACTTTTTCTACCCTTATGGTCCATAAGTATTTGCCTGAGAAATATTCCTCGAAAACATCTTCGTATCGGCTCAAAAATGTTATTTTGTACGTGTAAATTGAATATTATTAAGCGTTTTGTGATAAACTATTTGTTCTCATGTATAATATTATTGCTAACAGAAATATATGTTATACTTGTTTTCGTTCGCGACTCTGTCCGCATAAATAAAGTGTTAAAATAATACATATAGTAACCTACGTCACAGACTTTTTATTTTTAAATAACCTACATACAGACAGCGACATTTGCCTGAATGATTTTACACAAATGCATACAAAAAAAATCATTCCAATCGCTGCATTTGTTTAGGAGTTCAGTGACATACACACGTATAGTAGAATTTTATATTAATTATTAATGTTAATATGAATCTTCGTTGATTTCAGACTGGGTCTCCAGATATTGAAAGCGATCGACTCCATACACTCTGTGGGATTTCTACACAGAGACATCAAACCTGTGAGTAAAATAATATAAGTAACTACAATATATACAACAACAGGACCGACTGACAGACACTCACATCTCGTACGTGATCACGGATGCTGAAAAGTAGCCGAAACGTTCGGAATAGTGTAGTTTTTACGATAATAAAGTACGTAGTATTATCCAAAAAATATTTATTTCATTTAAATGAATACAGGTCTATACAGGGTGACTGGTGAATTACTATCGATATTTGAGGACGTGATATTTGACGATCATATATGACAAAATAAAAATTAATATAACATAAATATTAATAAACTTCTAAGTAAAGTTAACCAAATGTTATGTAATTAATTACGCATCGTGTGAACACCCTACAGATTAGGTATACACTCACACTCACACATACGCGAGCGGGGCGTGGTGTTGTATCAGCACGCCGCCGCACGCGTCCACACTAGGAACACTTGGAACGTGTCAACACTTTATTTATTTATACGGAAATTTTGTCAAAAATTAAGTGCCTATTTTTTTTACATAATTCGAATGAGAATCATGTACCGAGTATTCTCCTTAAATATTGATAGTAATTCACCAGTCACCCTGTATAACACTATACAACAGTTAGAAGAATCTGGTGATTCATCATTCAGGCGTGATGTTCGAGGTTTTGACTCATAAATATGTACTTCGTTTGAATTTACCACATTTATTCTCTATATTAAGGAAACTACTGAACTACCCACATTGATAAATATAGAATAGAGATATTTTGGAACATAGAGACAAACTAACATGATAATATCTTCAGAGTAACTTCAGCGTTGGACGACATCCATCGAACTGTAGGAGAGTCTATATGTTAGACTTTGGTCTAGCGAGGCAGTACACTACAAGCAATGGACAGGTTAGACCTCCGCGTGCTGCTGCAGGCTTCAGAGGTGAGTTAAAAATAATCTAGAATCTAGAAAATCTTCTTCCTGGCAATTTCCCAGCTTTAGCCAGGGTCTGCCTTCCTAAATAAACGCCTCCACTTTGCACGGTCCTGGCATCCTCGGTGGTTAGTCCAGAAAATATTTATCCGAAACTATCTCGTTGTTATTGTTGATCTACCTGGCAATTTCCTTTAGCCAGGGTCTGCCTTACATGTAAATAGTTTTGGCTAATTGTTTTCACGACCGGCCGCCTGCCTGACATCAACTCTCTTTTGGAATTCATTCCGAAAACTGTCTAGTATCAATTGATAAGTGATATCATCATCATCATCCTATCAGAGCCCACTGCTGAGCTGCCTCTTCTCACATGGAGAAGGTTAGAGCATTAATCACCACGCTTGCTTAAGACGCGTTGGTGATTTCAAATTCATAATTTGAAAGTATAAATCCAGGTTTCCCCACTATGTTTTCCTTCATTAATCAGTGATGTCTAAATACTCTTATAAAGTACATATGACTCGGAACAATCACGTTGATACTTGCCAGGTTTCGAACACTCATGCATGATAGGCGGGCCTTTAACCACGAAACCATTGATAATTGATACATTATCATCGAAAAGAACTATATTTATTACTGTTAAAGCTTATTACTAAGAACAGGTTAATTTTTACCAGGTACTGTTCGTTATGCATCAATCAACGCTCATAAAAATAAGGAGATGGGTCGCCACGATGATCTTTGGTCTTTGTTCTATATGTTGGTTGAGTTTGTGAATGGACAGCTGCCTTGGAGGAAGATTAAGGATAAAGAACAGGTAAAAAAATAGAGGGGGGGAAGGAATTAATGGAAGAAGGTTTAGGGTTCAACGAACTTAGTCAACATAATCTTTAAAAAGTCTCTTCGACAGACAGCTTCGTCCGCGTGGAGTTCGCTTATATCGCGTTTCCAAGAGAACCTTTCAAGTCTGGAATAAAAACTATCCTATGTTCTTTCTCAAGGTCAACTCTATATCTGTACCAAATTTCATTAAAATCAGTTTAGTAGAATAGGCGTGAAAGCGTAACAGACAGACAGAGTTACTTTCGCATTTATAATATTAGTAGGGATTGTATCCAAAATACAATAAAAGCTCTATAGTAAAAAAAAATGTACTAATATCATCCACTCAAAGACGATAATTTTTTATCATATCATGTGTGTTCGGTATTTAGACAGGTTAATGAAAACTTCTTTGGTTTTTCTAAATACTTTTATCTGAAGATACAGACGTTACTAAGACAAGAAATCGTAGCGGAATGATATTCAATTTTAAATATAAAAAATAGATAAAAAAGGATTCCAAATTTTGTAGACTATCGTTAGTTTATATAGACAAAATGTCATATAAAATAAATGTAGTGCAGGTCCACACGTAGGCGCCAACAATGGGTCATATAACATGTAATTAATCATCAGTGATATATTCTAGGTTGGTCTTATGAAGGAGAAGTATGATCACCGTCTGCTGCTGAAGCATCTGCCTTCCGAACTGCGGCAGTTTCTGGAACACGTGCAGCAGCTTGAATATGCTGACACACCGGACTACAGCATGCTGGCCTCGCTGTTGGAGAGGTGCTGCAAAAGACGCGGCATTAGGGACACTGACCCTTACGACTGGGAGAAAGATGTGAGATGAGATTTTTCTATTAGAAAAGTTGAAAATGAGTAGACCGTCTACTTGATGGGCTTAGTCACCTTCGTACATACATAGATATCCGCAACATAGATTTTGCGAATGCTTTGCTAATCATGGTTTTTTAAGTGATAGGGAGGGTAGGAGATGAAAATATGTAGTCTCATATGTATGTATTTCCTCAGATGAATGAGAGAGCTGATTAATCTTTCCTTTTCTCACAATTTCCTCTCTCTCTCAACCAAATAAGGTTGGTAAAGCATTCGTAAATGTATGTCGCGGATGTCCATGGGCGACGGTACTTTATCCATCAGATAGGATGTCTGCTCGTGTGACACCTTTGTCATATATATATTTTCAAGATCAATATATATACATATATATTTGGTGATTATATATCGATGTCTTCCTTACCTCCTCAGTCCGGCCCCGCGCCTAGAGCTCGTGTCGCCCCGCCAGCTGATCACGCGCCTTCGCCAGATCATCAGCCAGACAGGGTAAATACACACACACACACACACACACACATACACACACACACACATACATGATCCTCGTCAATATTTTAGTACATAAACTACATATACCAACTGAAATAGCATTTTCCCGTCGTTGCAAGTTCAAAGCTTATTCAATAAAAAAAAATCCTTGTAAATATATAATACATAGAAATATACTTCTTTACTTTAATAAATTCGGCCACTGTGTATACATATCCTAAAATATCAGTCTACTCACATATAATTATAATGTTAGGTTACACTGTTTTTTGGTTTTCATCTTATTTAGATTTTCCATACAACTTAGTGACAAATATAAGAATTTATTAACCTCTGATTTATCTCAAAATATTTCAAGACAGTTCGGCTTGCATCAGTTTAGTGTTGCAAGTATCACACGCAACGTTCATAATTTGATAAAAATAAGAATATTTTAATTTTTAACCCTATTTTACTTTAATCTAATTTATAAATATACATACATAAATAGGCATTACATGAGACGAAACCTCTTAGCATTCGATGGATTCACCGTGCGGGTGCCGGGTCCATCGCGTTGCAGGGAGAGGAGCTTCAACAGTGCCTGGGACTTGCGACCCAGGTGTAGGTTTAAGGGGCCCCTTAACTAACGCGCGTTATACGCTCACCTCCACTGTCCAAGTTCCTCTCCCTACCTAACCAAATTTGAAAAGAACCTACTAGGGCTGCCTTCGACGTACGTTCTAAGAATGAATTAATGTTAGTTCTGGACAGGCCCAAGTCTTTTAGTAGGTTATAGAGAGATTTAGCTGTTATACCTCTCGCTCCCACCTCTACCGCGTACAAATCAACGACGAACCTATTTCGAGTTAGTTCGTTAGTGAGCTCGTAATACTTATTGACCTTGATGGCATGGTCTTTGGGGATGTTGGTTTCCCAAGGCACCGTAAGCTCTATCATCACAACGCGCTTTAAAATACGCGAATATAGAAATATGTCTGGTCTGGAGGCCGACGCACAAATATCCTCGGGGATTTTGTATTGTTTCTCATACGTATCCATCATGATAGTCCAATCCGAAGCCGCTTTAAGGATAGAGTAAGGCTTGACGTTTGATTTTATAGCCCTGGTGCCCTCTCTCACAAAACCTATTGATCGCTCGTTTGTGGTTATTTCCCTTTGCGCTCTGGCTACCAAAAGACTAACCGCTTCACGTATGATCTCTAAAACCCTATCGTGACGACGCGAGTATTGACCGCTGTCCAGGAGAACCTTACATCCCACCAGCAAATGCTTGGCAGTTCCAACTGCCTTTCCGCAGATATAGCAAGTTTTTTCGGTACCTTTACCCCATCTTACTAAATTACTCTGATCTGGGAGAGTCATCTGGAACGCATTGAGATAAAATTTTAGCAAGGCTGGCGACCAGTCATGAATTAGGGTGCGCCATTTTAGTGCTAGTGGAATGCAAAAATCTCCTATGTCTAACCAATCGTTCTGCATTTCTAAACTCATGGCATGGATCTTGTATTAATCGTTCTCGTCTTGCCGAATAAAAGACGTCAATATATCTGTATCTTGGACTGTCCTACTTGATCCTAACCCTACTCTGTTATTTTGCGCTCCGATCATAAATTGTTTATGGAATTGAAGTCGTGACTCTAGCTCTGGGGCATCATTGTCTTTTGGGAGTGATGTAACGACGTCATCATGGGATTTTCCCAGGATATGTCTCTTGGAAACTCTTAGGTGTTTGTAGAGCTCCGATGGTCTTTTTAGATTCATCCCAAAACTATTACGATCCCTGAATAAAGCCGATGAGTCAGCCGTTAGCGTTATATTATCAGTACAATTATAAAACGGTGTTGTAACATTCAAACCTTAATATGTCTGTAACAGTATGTTCGTATATTACATGATATCTCCTAAACCAGGCTCGTCGTCGAGGTGAAACAGACGCTACTACCGCCGTAGCTACAGACACACAGACGAACGTACAGAAGGAGAAGGTCGCTGAGAAACGAGCGCCCGCCTCGCCGAGACATGCGCCCGCGCATGTTAACGGATATGTAAGTAGTGAGGGAGGGAAAGGGGCGTGGTCTTGAGGTTCAATGTACGTCATGATGTATGTTTGTATGTTACAGTCAACTACCGAAAAACCGACCGCAGAAAAGGAGGTCGAGGCTAGAACTACGCCAGCGCCATCTCCCGACAGACATGCTAAGGTTAGTAATGGATATACATATATATATATATATATATATATATATATATGTATATATATATATATATATGTATATATATATCGACCTACGATAAACATACGGACTATGCATATATTTTTACATTATCATTGATTAGTTATTATAAACGAGATATAACTCGGATAAAAGTAGCCCATGTCACGCTTTATATATTAGCTCTCGACTAATAAGTCCCGTCAAAATCGGCCTAGCCGTTTCAGAGTTCAGCGGGAACAAACATACAGACACTATTATATTATATATATGTTTGTTTATCAGGAATCCAACTCGGCCGTAGCGAGTACTCCGCTGTCTCGTCCTGAGAGACAGAGCGTGCCGCCCTGCAAGCCGAGAGCGCCCGCACCCGGTGAGACAAACACACACAGACACACACACTCTAGTGATACTTCACCTACATTACATACATACATACAAAATAATATATATCGCCAAAACTATAATATTTGTCTGTTAACAGTAATGAATTACTACTTTATTGATTTAATTCCTTTATTTTAATATTAAATATGTAAAATGTTTATTTTTTCTGTGAATTATACTAATTTCCTCAATCATTGTATTTAGGTGGACCAACACTTCTCCGGCTGCGCGTGGTAACAGCACCGCCCACGTGCGTTCAGGAGCTAGCGCCCACGCCGCCCACGACCGGTTAGTATTGAACTACATGTCATGACAAATGTAGGAAAAGGGGTAGCTAAGAAAGATACATAAAGATATAAGACATCTAGACTACATAGCATAATTAAAGATAAAGATAAAAATATACTGAAGCAATTATAAGTTGGGTTTAAAGAAGTTTATTTCCCAAAAGAACAAAGTTCGCTTACAAAGGAAATTTTAAAATTATAACTACAATTAAGATATGTATCACAGATAATTGTGATATTAAACAAGATCAGTGAAATCATCTAATATGTGGATGGGTTCTTAATCGTTTTTTAAGTAAAATAAATATTTTGAACTATTGTCTGTATATATGTGTAGTATCTGTTTAATATATATTTTTCTTGTGTTTAATGTACAGGCGAGGCTAGCAGTCCCAGAATCATAGCTGACGTAGACAGTGTGCATTCAGACACACACTTCAAGAGAGGTAACATATATGTATATATACTAACAACTAGACTCTGTAGGTGAGAGTGTTCCTAATAAGATTACAGTGAACCCCCCGGTAGGCCGACAAACATTTTGTAGGGCAGTGTCGGACTATCGAATTCGTCGGATTATAGAGTACTGCCTAACACCCCCTATAGTCCGGATTTTATAACAATAGAGTACCTTGTAATCCGACAAATTACAGATTCAATGATAAGATTATTTACATATTATATATACATATGTACTTATATATACTCTGAAGTACCCTACGCGTCGAGCACAATAGTGATGGTGCGTACAAGTTGTAACTTGTTCAATCATGCATTAGCGAATATTAAAAAATGTATTCAATAATAAATAATAGATCATGTCAAATTACAAGGGGATCCACTGTAATGTAAAACAATTTTTTATACCTATAAAAGTGCGATTATTCTATATGTCCTGTATTAAACTCTACTATAATTAATTTCATTATATAGCATCTATGTGCTACTACAGTCTCTAGTCTCTTGGGTCATGACAGTCATGCATATATACCATATACAATATGATACCAATACAATATGTATGTATGTCTTTATGTTTTTTGTATCAGGAACTCGGCGCACCGCCCGAGCCCGAGCCGATCAAAGTTACACACAGTTCGCTGTAATGGACGACGAAAACGTGTCGGCGTTACAACAGGTAACAGATAATAACACTGTAGGCTTGGTGGAGGGGGAAATTGTAGTAGAATGATATTACTATTGACAAGTTTTATGAGTAACTATAGCTCTTACTCGTGATAAAAACAGAAATAATAAAACTCGAGTTTAATGATGTAGATAAAAAGTAGTCTAAGTAGTGACTTAGACTATATAAGCAATGTAATAAGCAGTGGCTTATTACATTAGCTGTCTGTCAGTAAAAGTTCTTTCAATATCGGTCCGGTAATTTCAGAGATTAGCGGGAACAAACAGAAAGACGGACAAAAATTTTAAAAAATGATATTTTGGTGTGTGTGTACTATTTATATTCGTATGCATGGAGTAAATCAGTTATTTAAATATCATAAAGATACACTTGAATTATAACAAAAAAAATAAAAAATAACAAAATAGCGGGTTTTAAATTAAATAATATTAATTAAATAGTGAGAATCCTACGCCTGGAAAAAGTGAAACTTCGTAGTTAAAATAAAATACTGCTCCATTTATTACATGCGTATCAAATCAGAATAAAAATATAATAAATAAATTAATATAGAACTACAAGTATATTGTGTTTCAGCTAATTTCAAAACGCTCACACTGTTTACTTGCTGTATTGCAATAATTATATAATATCATACGCATGTACTTTGAATCTACTATCTCTGTCTCACTCTCTCCTACGTTTGCGTATCTTTCTATCTCTCTCCCTCATAAGTTTCCCTTCAGTAATAATATATGTATATGATTTAAAGGTAACAAAAGGCGGTGCTCTGACCTTAGTGTCTTTGTGGAAGTCTCAGTTTGATGACTCCGAGGAAACTACTGACAACGAGTGGAAACAGGAGCAGCTACAGGTATGTAGAAAATATATATATATAGTTATATATACATATATATAGATATATATAATGTTGTACCTCTTTACAGCTGCATACAATAAAAAAAATACATATATACTAATAGTGTGTCGTGTATGTTTGTGGTGTTATAGTGTTAGATGTCATTAGAGCCATATGTATGTTATATTGAGTTTGTTACTGTATGTTTGTATGTCATACTAATGTCGGAGTGTTACAACACACCTTCAGTCGCCGGAACATAGGAACGCTCGCGCATCAGCCGTGTCGAGCTGCTCCAACGTGAGGACTCAGCTGCCGCTCACACACACGCACACACACACACAGATGGAGCCGAGGGTGCAGGTTAGGGTGGACGAGGTGAGTGTTAAGGAGAAATGACCAAGTTACAGACACACACACACACACACACACACACACACACACACACACTCAGCTTGAGCCCAGGGTGCAAATTAGGGTGGACGAGGTGAGTTTTAAGAACGGGGGACTAAGTTACAGAGACAAATACACATACACACACACATACACACACACAGATAAACAATTGTAATTCGACTCAATGTATTAATCGTGTTTTCTTTAAATATCACTATAAAAAAATTGCCTCACATCCACAGCCAGAGAAGCCAGAAAAGACTGAGAAACCGGAAATAGCTGAGAAACCGGAAGTGGTGGAGAAACCAGTGACCAAAAACACCAAGTGCTGTCTGCACAACGTGGGGATAGATGCCTTCCCTAAGCTACAACCAGCTTTACCCAGAAGCTGGAGTCTACCAGCTATAGGTATATAAAGAATATAAGAAGTCTCCTTAGAGACACCAATAGATGTCGTTTTAGTCACCTAGTGTCTGATAGATATTAAAGCAGCCTTTCTACACTACACTACAGGTACAGGCACTACAGGTCTAAAGGGCGGTAAGAAATGGAAAAAATAGGGGTGATTTGTAATTTCATTTAGCTAGGATAGTTAATGATGGTTTTTTCAGTAGCTGAAAAAGTAGGGCGTTAAAATATATTATATTCTCCATGTAGAAGAAGGTTAGAAGACAAAATAAGTTTGAAAACCACTAGATTAAATGAATAAAACAAATTTTAATATTTTCTATATTTCATTCATCAAGAAATGGTCCTATCAATGTAAAAAAGCCATTCCTATCGCTTAATTTACTTATTTTATACTAAATAATATAAAAAATTTCTCTTCTAACGATATATTATAACAAAATCCAAACAGGAAACACGTATGTCTGCTATATATACATATATTTCCTTTTTCATATTTCACATGATATAAGTTTGGTTTATATACATTTTTACACTTGTAAGTTTTCTTTTTTTAATTACCAAACATTTAATTTTACTGTTTTATCTCTTTTATATATGTTCACTTCCAGATTAATTAATTATTTGTGGAAACTGTATTGGCATGTGGGTTATTTAAGGTTTATAAGTTTTATGTTATATAAAATATGCTGTTTGTTTCACTTACTTACAAATAAATAAAAAAATATGTGTCATGTATATATATATATCTATTTCCAGGTTGTAAGGTCCGCAACCTTCGCCCGCCTCTGCTCCAGCAGGCGTCTTTCGATGCGGGTGTGTCCGGCGCCTGCTACCGTCTGGACGTGATGAGGGGCGTCGCGGCGAGGGGAGGGGGCGAGCCTGCACCACGAAGAGCTGCCAGTCTACCGGTACACACACACACAGACAGACACATACATACACACACACACACATACAAAAAATATTGATTAATAAAAATTTTGAAAATACTATACAAATTCTTCACTTGTCATTGTAAATATTGTACATGTATATCAATATTGTACATTGTATATCAACATTTGATTTTGCTACCAGTACAAAGAGTGAAGTGAGGAAGGTGCGGGGCGGAGTAAAAGCAGAATAAACCGGTTCCAACTTAAAACCACATGGCATAAACAAATTTGATATCACACCTACACTATCATATACACTCACACAAACGCAAAGCTCAGCTTAAATCAAACGCACTATAACATTTATATAATAAATAGAAGACCCGGCGAACTTCGTATCGCCCTATAATCAAGAAATATCTGTTACTTTTTAATTTATATTTTTGGAGTTTACCTATTAAAGTCGTATATCTCCTTGTTTTGAAGTGCGACAGAATGATTGACATATTAGTTAGTTGTCAAATCTATTGTCAAAAAAAAAACGTTTGTATCAACAACTACTAATAAATTAAAAAAAAACATTGTCCAGCGGACAAAATTGTGAATCTAAACCATTCCCAGATCCCCTTAGACACACACAAAAAATTTCATCTAAATCGTTCCAGTCGTTTGTGAGAAGTTCAGTGACATACACACTCACAGAAGAATTATATATATAAAGATGATTCTTATTATGTTCTTATTTCTATTTCCAGAGTATATCCAGATGTTCATTATCGCCTCCCCCCCAACCGCAAGCAGTTCCAGAAGCAACGGTCTCTAGTAGACTGGAAATAAGAGTTAGACCGGACACAGCCAGCCCTATGCATTCTGGTAACTAATTATATAGGGTGTCTCACGGAAAATTTCGAATTTAAAAAGGCTATAAAAAAAGAACGACTCGATAGATTTCAATGATCAAACATTTATTTGAAAGCATAATTCATGACATTATTTGTGAAAAATTATCTCGGTCAAATGTCCACCACAGCTTACTTGGCAGTACCCTATTCGATCAGTCCAATTTTTCAGTACATTTTCAATTGTTTCCGGCCTTATGGCAGCAATGGCAACTTCAATTTCATGTTTCAAGTCATCAATCGTGCTTGGCTTGTTGGCGTAACAAACGTCTTTGACCGCTCCCCAAAGGTAATAATCCAATGGTGTTAAATCGCAGCTTCTTGGAGGCCAATTCACATCACCATTTTTGCTGATTATGCGATTTTCGAAGATTGGGCGCAAAACATCGACCGTAGCATGGGCTGTATGGCACGTAGCCCCGTCCTGTTGAAACCAAATATCGTCCAAATCATACTCTTCCATTTGACCGAAAAACCAATCAGTTAACATAGCGCGGTAGCGCTCGCCGTTGACGGTTACGGCGGCTCCTTCATCATTTTCAAAAAAAAATGGGCCGATGATGCCGCCGGACCAAAATCCGCACCAAACAGTCACTCGTTGTGGATGTATCGGTTTCTCCTCAACGACGTGCGGGTTTTCTGTGCCCCATATACGGCAGTTTTGTTTATTTACATAACCGCCGAGGTGAAAATGAGCCTCGTCGGAAAAGATGATTTTTCGATAAAACTCACCATCTTCGGCCAAACGATCTTCCGCCCAATTTGCGAACCGTAGACGTTTCGGATGATCAATTGGCTTCAGCTGTTGGGCCAACTGAACTTTATATGGCTTCAGGGCAAGATCTTTGCGCAAAATTCGGTGCGTAGTTGACCGAGAAAGGTGCAACTCTTGCGCTCGATGACGAATCGATGTGGATGGCCGTTCACGAACACTTTGTTCCACCGCAGCGATGTTTTCGGTTGACCTTGCTGGAAATGGACGTTTACGTGTTGTTTTATCCAACAGTGATCCAGTTTCGCGCACACGATTCACAAATTGCCGCACATATGCCTCCGATGGCAAATCTTTTTTGGCAAATATTTTTTTCAAATTTCGCACAGTTTGCGTTGGCGATTCACCACTTTGGAAATAATTTTTTAATATTTCCCAGCTTTCCTCAAGCGAATAGCGACCCATTTCGTAAATGTCAGACTTATTACTAAATATGTGACACTTCTCCGATGACAGTTGACGTCTCCAATGTCAAATTATCGTTAGTTCAAATTCGAAACGCTAGATGGGACACCCGTTAATTTATTGCTAACTAGCTTTCTTCCCGCAGCTTCGCCTGCGTGGAGTTATATCGCGTTTCTAAGAGAACCTTTCAAAAGTGAAATAAAAACTATCCTATGTTCTTTGTCAATGTCAACTCTATGTCTATACCAAATTTCATTGAAATCAGTTCAGTGGTTTAGGTGTGAAAGCATAACAGACAGACAGACAGAGTTACTTTCGCATTTATAATATTAGTAGGGATTGTATAGAAAATAGTTTAAAACTCGTTAATATATAACATATTTCAGCTTAAACTTTTTCTGATAATCTGCTTCCAATGTAGATACGTGGAATTATCTAATAGTAGTTACAAGGATTTGCATTACCACCGACGATATGTGATATTTGTCATTCATATGATTTATTTTATTTATTTTCTTGACCTCGTTGGTTTGGAGTTAGCAATTAGGTTAACAGAAGTTAATCTAATGTTTAAGTCAATGAAAGTTTCATTGAAATCTGTTTTATAGTTTCTGTTTGAAGATCGTCCATACACCCTGATAAATTTTGTCATTTAATAATAGTAGTATATATTCTGTCGTGATGGCCTAGTGGTGAAAGGCCCGCCTCTCATGCATGAGCGCGGGTTCGATCCTGGCAAGTACCAATGTGATTTTTCTATATGTACTTTATAAGAGTATTTAGACATCACTGACAGATAAAGGAAAACCTGGATTTATAATTTCCAATTATAAGTTTGAAATCACCAACCCGTCTTGAGCAAGCGTGGTGATTAATGCTCAAACCTTCTCCATGTGAGAAGAGGCAGCTCAGCAGTGAGCTATGATAGGATGATGATGATGATGATGATGATTTTATGTTCATCTTCAGGTACATATCTCCCTGTGAAAATCCACTCTGTGGTCAGCGGAGGTGAGATACGGAATCACGACGAAACTTCCGTATACTACGACGCTACGGAACACCAGAGAGATAAAAGGTAGGAATCTAACCCGCTACATACTACAACACTCGCAACCACTGAGCCATAGTGTCATACAGGGTGGGCCAAGAATTCGTTAACATTTGAATCTAATACCCTACGCAAATAAATGCCGCGCGGGGCACGGGGAGGGGTCTTGTCACTAGCTCGTTTCTCGGAAATTTTGTAGCAATGGATCGCTTCACGGGGCCGCAGCGCGTTTACTGTGTGAAACAATTTTATTTAAACAACAATTCGCTTATTACTGTGTGACGCTTATTTCGTGGTGAATATGATTTACACGACTTAAGTCAGTGTCCGAGTGGTCCTTTAATAAAGAAATGGGTGAAGAAGTTCGAAGAGACGGGATCTACACTAAATGTAAAGCAAACCGGCGGCCTACGGACTTCTCGGAGCGAAGAGAACGTACAGCAAGTTTCTGCTTCTGTTCGACGTGAGCCAGGTTTATCGACGCGCAAACTTTCGGCTGAATTAGGATTATCCCGCACATCGTTACGCCGTATTTTGAAGTTAGATTTGAAATTGCATCCGTATAAGATTCAATTGGTGCAGAAACTAAAACCTAATGATTTAAATTTACGCAAGTCCTATGCTGAAACTGCTAGATCGATTCAGTAATTTTGAGAACCTCTTATTTTCTGACGAAGCCCATTTTCATCTTAACGGACACGTAAACAAACAGAATTGTAGATATTGGAGCAGTGACAATCCTAAAGCTAAACACGAAAGGCCACTTCATTCTCCAAAGATAACTGTATGGGCTGCAATTTCAGCAAAAGGAATAATTGAACCTACTTTTTTGAAGATTCTCACGGCCGTTCAGTTACTGTTAATTCTACTCGGTATGTGAAAATGTTACGGGAGTTTTTGGCACCGATGCTACTGGAATTTTCTTACTACAATCGTAACACGTGGTTTCAACGAAATGGAGCCACTTGTCATACATCCAACGAATCCCTGCCGGTGGTTAAAGAAATGTTTCCGAAAAGGCTGATTTCCAGACGAGGTGACATTCCATGGCCACCCAGAAGTCCAGATCTATCCCCAGCTGACTTATTTTTATGGGGTTATTTAAAGAGTCGTGTCTACATCGATAAACCAAATACACTACGTCAACTAAAAGAAAAAATCAGCGAAAAGATATCGACGATCTCACGGTCTCTGTGCGGACGAATATTCGAAAATTTCGTTACTCGCTTAGAAGAGTGTAAAAATCGAAATGGTGGTCATTTAGATGATATGATTTTTTAAAAATAATTTCCAACTAATTAGCTTTCTTTTAATAAAACAATTTTTAATATATGTCAAATAGTTTTTTTTAAATGATTATTTCAAATGTTAACTAATTCATGGCCCACCCTGTATATAGTTTAATGAAAACATTAAGCAAAACATAACTGACAAAATATTAAGAGTAGCATTTATTTATAATGAAACTTAAAACTAAATTAAATTACAAAAAAAAATCACGAAAAATCAGTATATTCATACATGAAAATATCCTTAATATATAAGCCATATAATCATTTTATTTTGTGTTGGTGTTTTATATGTAATTTCGTTCCAGGTCATCGACCCGCAGCGGCGATAAGAGTCAAAGTCTTGTCGTAGAAAGGACTAGACTCGACGCTATACAAGATAGGTAAATTATATGTGTGTCTTCATATGGAATAAATACTAAACTAGTATTAGTAATTTATATGAATAATAGTTTTTCCCGCGACTTTGTCCGTACGTAGTTTGTAATTCGATCCAGAGATAAATTTTGTGTAAATTAAATGTAAAGCCAATTAATGACAGCGCCATCTATCGTGTGTCACGGGACTTAATGATTAATTCATATTATAATGTAATACACAGAATGAAGGGTTGAAGTTGAACTATGACACATTCTATTATACAAACTATAGGACTGGATAGTTTTATGAAAAATAGCTTAGTAAATATTACGAAAAACTAGCTAGTTTATAATATTTTGTATATGAATGTATATTTCAGGAGTGCATCTCTAAGGCGCGAAGCTAGCGCGGGAGGGGACGGGTCGCAGAGCTTGAGAGACGTGAGTCATTAACATTTGACATATATACTATGAGTATACTTACATATAACCATTTATATAATACACGAAGTCAAATTTAAGCAGCATTTGAATAATAATTAGGAGAAATATATAGTTTACAGTGTTAAGTAATATGTCTAATACTTTTAATGTATTGTTATAATTATATAGTAGTTGTGGTAACGGTTAAATTGACTAAATAAGTAATTTGATGATGTTTTAATATTGGACATACATACCGTACAGTTTTATATATTAATATTATTGTAATGAATAGTAAGGCCAACGTAAGAATTGTAACCAAAAACATCATAATACATACATGATCATTTATTTTCAATTTAATTGTTAAAATCTTGTTTAATAATTATAATTACAGAAGTCATCGAGTGGTTCCCGTATACCAGTAGCGAGTGTGCCGGCCGCTTGTCAGGGAGTAGCGCCGGGGGGCGGCGCTAGTTCACTACACAGACTGGCCAAGTGTGCGTCGTGGAGTGGGGATGGACCTCTCAATGAACTGACACCCGGTAATATATAACACATAACACACATACATTTATACATATCTTCTACCTGGCATGCTGGCGGCCCTGGCTAAAGCTTTACATGTTGTGAATAGTTTTGGCTAATTGTTTTTACGACCGGCCGCCTGCCTGACATCAACCCTTTGAGAATGCATTAATCAGTGATGTCTAAATACTCTAGAAAGTACATATGACTTGGCAAAATCACATTGGTACTTGCCAGGATCGAACCCGCGCCCTCATGCATGAGAGGCTGACATTTTAACCACTAGGCATCCATATATATATGTTATATCATCGTTATGAGCTCCTTAGCACTTAATTTTTTGACAAATCATAACCTAAATGTTATTCTACTGTATTTTTATCCCCCGGGTCCTTCGGGCCAAATCGGGTAGGTCCCACCGAAAGGGCTAGCAGCAACTCGAAACTAAAAAGTGTTTATATCACTGGAAATGCATCCAAATCTGCTTAGCATTTATCAAGAGAGCAAGAATAATCCATAAATCAATACATCCTAACAAACTTTTGACTGTATAATATCAAAAGATTAAGTTTTTCTCTTAATATATATATACATGTTATGTTTCCAGGTCTTCGTCGTCGTCGTCAAAACGCGGCAGATAAATATGCCGCGGACCCCGCGCGGGACCTCAACTTGAGGTTCGCGCGACCGAGACACAGACATCAACCACCACCTAATAGGTAACAACATATAATATATAGTATCAATATATATGTATATAAATAAAACACAAAATAATTACTAATAGTAAAAATTACCTTAAAACTCGTTAATATTGAAATAGCTTTCCGCCCGCAGCTTTGCCCGCGTGGAGTTATTATATCGCGTTTCAAAGAGAACCTTTCAAAAGTCTGGGATAAAACTATCCTATGTTCTTTCTCAAAAAAATCAGTTCAGTGGTTTAGGCGTGAAAGCGTAACAGACGGACAGACAGAGTTATTTTCGCATTTGTAATAAAATAAGTAAGGATGTTTGATGATGAATTTATAATATATAATAGTCTTCTAACAGTGATTGGTAAATTATTAACCATAGTTAATCAATGTTATGGACAATAAAATAATAACCGACTTCAAATAAAGTACAGTAATACCCCGCTTTATGCGAGGGATACGTTCCGAAGAAAATCGCGTTAACTGAAATTCATGTATTTCCTTTTGGGTAGCGTTTTGTTTACGTTCTTGTAAATAAGTTCATAGCACCCAATACTGTTTTTAATTGTTTGACACACGGTCAAGACGCGGTCATCATTATTATCTATACTCTGCAATATGTCCAAATCTGAATAAATTTTTGAAATTCGTGTTATAGTGAAACTGTGCACAACGGGGTCGCGTTAAGCGGGCTATTACTGTAATGATTTTGAATGCGCTTTAAACGGTACTGAAGTAAAACTTCTTTTTATCCATCTATATATATGTTTGTATAATAAACATTGATTCAAACTTTAAAAGATATATATTAAATAAAGAAATACTAATAATGCTGTCCAAAAAACATTGTTTGATAAAACCATTATGAAATGACCTCTAACCTAATTGTTATTCCTATATAGCAAGTTCATACTAATGTATATTCTCTCTATTGCTATTTCAGCCATATGGCTCGTATCTTTAATAACTGGTATAGCTTCATTCTAGAGACCTTTCTAATATGGTGTCTGTGCCAAAGACCGAAAACTATTTGTACCTGGTCATAATTTTCTTATCTTAATATGGTTATAATCCTAAGATTATTGAACGTATTTTAATGGACTTTCTTAAAGACTGATCTATAAGTAGTTGCGTTACTGTTTTTAAGCAAATGGTTTTTAAAACAAGATTTCCTTATTACTTTATCTTCTGTACAAATCCTATTTTTCCTCCACATTAAAAACTTACTATCATCTAATGTATTTGTAGTATCAATTCCTACCTGTTGCTATCTAAAGCAGATTTAGTCATAAAGACACTTCATGGCACATTATTTCGATTTTCACTTCCTACAATCTCTATATAGATTGATGTTGGTCTTCTAAAAATAAATGTCTCTAAAGAGTTTCATTGCTCTTGATTGGATTCGTTAAACCTTAATTTTGGTTGCTGCATTGTGTTCGAAGCTGAGACAACTACTTAACAACGGTAGTATTTCTCGTTTAATAGCTTTGTCTATACAAAGCAGAGGAATTCCTTGCCAAATGTAAAGTCTAAGCCTTGGACTCTAAGGGAAGACGTGCAAAAAGTTTTATTAATGAACACAATTTGGCAAAAACTAATATAGCCAATCTTAAACATACAGCGAAGAAGCTAGCCTCTCAATATTCAAACACTAGCTCATCCATCACCTTTCATTACTGTACTCCTCATTATTTACCAACTGGCTTTAATTTCAAAGAGAAGTTTTGCTTCAAAACCGACTTGTTTAAATAATAACTTACTTTGAATGTAACAAAAATGAGTTCTAACAAATCTATTCATATAACCCGACTAACCTGTCATCAGCATGGCCCATCGTTGTCGTAGCGCGGCGGGGGGCGGGGCCTCCCCTCCATCGGGAGCGTCGTCTTCCTCGGGCTCCCCGCCCCCTCCGCCGGGGGTCGCTCCGCCCCCACCGGCCGGGGTAACACCCCCCGCACACAACGCGGCCCGGGCGAGACGCTTCAGACCCCTGGCCGCAAGGGACCACAAGGACGACCTCCCGCCGCCCGTGTACAGCGCGATCGGTGAGATTAATATATACAAAGAGTCTCATCGTTTTAGGCTCAGCAGTGGGAGAGCCCTGGGTATCTGTGAATACAGTAGTTTACAATACAACACTTTATTTTTGGCGTTCGTCTTCACACGGCTTTGCTTTTTGTTTTGTACATAGAATATATGAAAATTATCTTAACTTTCTCACTAATACTAATACAAAATATTAATTCATGTATATTGATATCATTTATTTTTTATATAACTGTGAACCCACAGACACACACACAATAAAATATATATTATAAATTTTAATATGTACCAAAATATAATAAGTTATTTTTTTAAATACATCCGTGTGTGGTGAGTGAGTTCATTAGTGAGAGTTCCGTGTAATCATCAAACATACGATAAAAATTAATTCCATATAGTTTTAACGAAAATATTTTTGGAGGTTTTTAGGAGAACATAAATCTATGCTCTAAAACTATCAATAGCTAAAAAACATATTATTTAAGCATATTTTACAGATTTTTTTGCGTATTCGCTCAAAGTTTGGGCTATATGTACTATTTTGGAATACGAAATAATGTATATTTATAAATATCTCAATGTTTTTTTACAGGAACGGGCCATAGACTGTGACGTCTGAACACATGACGGTACATGTGAAATATATGAACGATCCGAAAATAAATAGATATTGGTTCAAAATATAAGATACGACCATTTAACAGAAGAAATCGGATCAATAAAATATACGTGTTGACTAATATGTTAAGGAAACGGCGAAAAAATACATCATCATGTTCCAATATTAAATGTAAATTTTCTTCAGATATTTTTTGCATAGAAGAAAATATTACGCGCAGATACTCACGTCTATATTTATAACCGGTGTAACGAAAATAATGTATTAAATGTAATATATACATAAAATAACACAGAAAATAAAATAAATATACTATCGATGATTGTATAAAGCCAAAATTATTTTTATATAAGCTGTGTATTTATGGTTTCCGTGAAGACAGGAGTTAAGTCGTAGGGTCTTATAGTAACACTAGGATCTGCTTCCCGGATCCGCTCGACCTTATGCGATCCACACGAGGACAGTCGCGGGAGGGTAGTTGTATATACTACGTTATTTACTTATTTATTTGTATATAACTCGTCTCGGTAGCTCCAATCGACATATCAGGAGTGCAGCCTGACCGTCTGTTCGTACATTGTGTATCGATCGCTTATATATTTAAATTGGGGACATGTTCGTGTTATGAATTTTATTCTCGTTATATGTACTAATGATCTTTAATGATACGACGCATAGCCGCCATTACACTCTAGTCTCTTCTGCTTAATATAGATATTTTAAATATGTAATAATAAATTTAATTGACGATAGTATTAAGGGTTATTCAGGGCGGTTGCCGCGCCGCCAGTTTGCGACTCCGCTGAGAGAGTTGCAGAAGCGAGGGTAGGTTTAAATTGCTTGGGAGTAGAGGTCGCGACTCCCGTCTTTGTCTAGTCTACGAACAGCTTCCGTCTCATAGTTTTATCGACGATAAATTGAATAATGTTGAGACATTGATTATTTTGAGAGAATAAAGAATAATGTATAGAGATGTTGTTATATGGTAGACATACTGAATGTACTCCCGGCTGCAAGCGGCCCTGTGCTGTTTTAAAGATGCACGCTCTGTTACATTTTATTTTGCCATAACTTTTTTTTTTATATTTACCGAAATATGCACAATGACTTTAAATAAAAGGTACTTGTCCTTTATAATGTGGTTTTATTGTTCGACGAATTAATATAACTGCTTTTGTTTGTTTGGTGACTTAATATTGAAATCAAGGATCATTTATATCTCCTATTTGTAAGAAGACAAGCTGAATCCTATCTTGTGATTGCTGCATCATGTAATGCTCCATACATACACTACTTTAATTAAAGCTCATGATAGAAAAGTCTTGAATAATAATCCTTATCAGATGACTGTTTATACAGTGATATATGAATAGCACAATGAACACCCTGTATAAGTCATCTCTAAGATTCATAACTAGAGACAAAACAACTCGCCAAAGTATTAATACCTAAATAAAATTGTATAACTTTTAAACACTACCGTTCATATAAATTATCTAATCAAGTTAAACGCTTTTTCATTAAAATATGAATATAAAAGAACTTATATATTGTAAAAAAGTAAAACAAAATATCAAATTTTCAAAAAAAGTTGGCTTTGCAAATGTCCAATTTCATCTTCCAAGGTACATGCGTAAGTTTAGTGGGTTAAAATATATAAAAACTTAGTAGATACTCATCTCAAAAAGTAAAACTAGATTTTATTAAAATGCACCATAAACTATAACAAACTTACATTTGAATAGTTTTGTCTTTAATTTTAAACTTTAAATAACTATCCAAACTTCTGTAAAAGTCTTGAGGTTTGAGAAAATTTTATCATAGATTTAAATATTAAACAAGCTATAAATAGCATATATTATTTACTACTTTATTTCTAGGCAACGGATGGAAAGACAGCAAGGACGAGAAAATAAATAACAAAAATAGAGTTCATAAAACGTCCAGAAGAAAAATTTACTCTTATTTTAATATTATGGCTTTTTCTATTGGGGTTTAATTTCTACCCAGCCAAAACCAAGCCATGAAACTACACTGCCATTGATTACTTTTCCCTCTAAAATGTAGCTGTCATTTCCACCACACTAACCATGGAAAATATTATCAATTTCTGTAATAGACTACTAATTATTAGAGAGAGACGAATCTTCTCATCATTCAATTCAATTCAATCAAAATGATGTCTCTGTAAACCTGTAAATATTATCCAAATACTTAGAGCTATTCCAGCTGCTGGTTAGTACTTTGTATAATTGTATTACAAGGTGAATTGTCGATGGATCACCAATCTTAATCAGATTAGGCAAACGTGTTGTTTTTATTTTATTTCAAATGCCACAAACGAGCAGACGGCCTATTTGATGGAAGGTAGTCACCGGCGCCCATGGACATCTGCAATATAAGACATGTTGTGGATGCGTTGCCAACCATGATTGTGGGATAGAGAGAAAAGGGTTTGAAAAGGGAAAGAGCAACCGTCTCTCTCACTCATCGGACGAAACACGGCCATTAAAGACTACTTCACGCCGATCTTCTGTAAGGGGGTCGCATTTTCCCGGTTGACGAGCCCACGTTCCAGCTGTAGTTGCTAGATCACAGCTAGGCTCTGCAATTTTAACACTAGACTTATCAAAGACCATATGTTTTAGGTCTCTTTGAAAACCTCAGCCATCATCACAAATCCAGTTTTGTAAACGAGAACACATAGCAGCACTAAAACTAACTTTATATTACAAATAACCGTTTAGATGATGAAAATGACATCTAATCCAGCGGTGAAGAGTGAGATAGAAAAATCTCGGGAACGGAACTATATTATAAATATCTTTTGGACAATTATACGACAGAATAAACTCAATACACACACAAACACACATACGCACGTCATACATATACATACGTAAGCTTGAGTATGGATGGAATACGCTCCTGGGGAGGGCAATATAAAAAGAGACAGAGTGAGAAGGAATGCGTGTCTCTCGAACACACACTGGCAATCAATTGTGACTTTGTAAGGAATTTTAATAAAATTTGTGATAAAGAAACTAAAAAAATTATTTCCACACCATCCTATTTTCATTCCAACATTACGAAGTTTCACTTCTTCCACGCACAATTATTATTTTTTTACCCCGAGTAGGCATGAGAAAACAACTTACTTTTAGTTTCTAGATTTTAAACATTGTTTTTAAAATCCCTCTGAGCATAGTATGTGTATATATTTTGAAAGAACGTAATGAAATATTTAATGAAAAACACGTAAAGACTTAACTATTTACCAAGTATTCTGCGTTTTAGAGCCGTAAGTCTCATTAATAGGTTTACAGCCAGGTTTGATGCCAGCCTTCTGTAGCTTTGTTATAAACACGTCTAAGCGACTTCAACCAAGAAGTATAATATATTCTAAACGTAAAATCTATCTGCCACATATAATATACAAAGATATATAAATATATATAGTAAATATAAGAATTCAGTTGACTTGAACATAGTCACGTAAAAAGACCCATCGAACAACACTTAAAAATAGTGACATGGATTTATACTTTTTATATCATATTTAGTCATTCAGAAAAAACTACCATATGAAAAAAAAGTTTATAAGAACTCGTTTCAAACTAAATATATAATATGAAGTCTTCAACGTAGTGTCACATATATCGCACCTCCGCTCAAATAGTGTCACAACTCAAAAAAAGTTGAATTCAATTTTATTGCACTATTGGAATCAGAAAACTTCGAAATCTTATCTCAAATAATGTCATGGCCATAGTTCAACTATTTATCCATAGATGTCAATATTTCGTAATTTATTAGTTTTTTTCATCCGTTATTTTTTTTTAAATATATTCCACAAGTCTATTACACCATTTTGTTGAGTGTCAAAAATCATTATAACTTACTTAAAATCATATTGCGGTAACTTTTACAGTTTTTGAGTGATGAGCCGAAAAGTGAAAAATAAAGTTAGCATTAACTTCAAACGCGTTTTATTCGAAAGTTGGGATTTTTGACTTATGACACTATTTGAGCGGAGGTGCGATATAATGTATGTCTGTATGTATATAACAGAGAGAACAAAAACTAAAAGCAATACAGCGAAGGACGTCTCTAGATGACTCTGTCCTAACTAATAGAGCGATGTAACTGTTTCCATTGTAACACGAACACGGGACAATTATAAGTTATTATGTTATTCTTATTATGTTATATATATAAAGTTTTTGATTGATTCAAAAACGATTTAGGGCAGCCTGATTACATATGATAATATAAGTAAATTTGCATTTTCATGAATAGAAAAAACAAACATGCTTTTACTTCATAGTAGGTATACCTAATTATTGATGAAACCGTAAAAAATATGTTTTAGAAATAAATACATACAAATCATTATGAAATGACAACTTCAAAAATCGTATAAAGCTGATATAATTTAAGACTTTTGAGATTTTACTGTAACTTAACGAAACATGTGTTTGTTAAATGTATAAGTAACTTCTTAAAAAATAGAAAACTCTTTAAAACTTCTAGAAGAGAATAATCTTGTCATTTATAATATACATTTGAAATAAAGAGACAATAATTTGAAGAACAAAATAAGACTCTCTAAATCAATTACAATAAAGTTAATTGACCTTAATTTTCGACTCTGAGCTTGAAAGTCTTCCTCACAAACAGTTTTATTTATCACTCGTTAAAGTTACGTCATAGGACATGTGGAAACAAAACTAAAATAGCTAAGTGTATTGGAAACACGTCATTACTTATAACAGCTCGAATGGCGGCTCTATTGCTGTGTGATAAGGTTGTAATTCTGATAACAAGATATGTTTCATTAAAATCATTCAGTCTCCAAGCAGAAGGTCAACGAAGCACATGTTCCTGTTGTATAAAATTGTAAGTTTGACAATCATATAACTTACAAACTTTACTTTTATATATATAATTCTCAAATATATTGTGGCTGAATTAATGACACAAATCTAGTATTTTAAACTACATTTTATTCTATATTTATTTATATATGTGTGCTTGTATATTTTTTATTTATTATAAAAAACTGTTGATTTGATTTGACAGATAACATTAGATATTGACTAAATAAATATGTATGATTTTGACAAGTTTTCATACACTACATACGTATAGTTTCACGTTTCTCATTCAATACTACGTAATACGTTAATACTATGTGAGAAGTTTTCTTAATGAAAAACTATTTAAGTTTAAAATGTAGTGTATATATGCAAACTTGTGGTTAGCATACTAATATTTAGAGACACTAAAATACTAGTAAACAATATACATATATAATCCGTATTTTAAGGTCATATTGAATATTTTCGGTAATTTTTTAAGTTTTATATTTATTTTCCAATAGATTTGTTTAGTTTTAGTTGTTTTTATATTCGACTTATTCATATTTTGGTTTCGTGAAGTTTTACTCACAATAATAATTTTATAGTAGATTTAGGGTTTTGCCGAAATAAATTAATAGGCTTATAATTATTTAATTTTTTGCTGTAGCGAATATGTATAAGGTGAATATTTTTGACGACTTTAGTAAAATTTAAAATTACTATTGATGTTTAGTTATTATATTTAATTGATAGATTTAAGTTTATTATACTTTTTATTTAATTTTTCATTCTTATTCATTTGTTTCTAAAAAATATATTTCATCTCTATATTTAATGTTTTGTACGGACTTGTTATTACATTTTCTTGAAAGAAACATACCTAAATAAATAAATATATCTTTTGAAGTTAATATCGTAACAGGATGCTTACTCCAAGTTTTCATCGTCACTACATACGTAGCGTTAACAGTTTTCGTTCATAACTTCTCACATAGTATTAACGTAGTATTGAATGAGAAACGTGAAACTATACGTATGTAGTGTATGAAAACTTGTGGTAAAGGTACAATCATCTGTCAATACGATAACATACAACAGTACTTATATTACTAAGAGGTTTTATATCTCTGTCTGTATTATCTATAGATTGCACTTAGATATATGTATGTAGATATTTATATCTATAGATAAAATAAAATGCAATCGATTAATTCAGATTATTTAACAGCTTATTTTTATGTAATCGCCAACCCGTCTTGAGCAAGCATGGTCATTGATGCTTGTCATAGTTTTTTCATTCGTTTTCTCAAAAACCCATTCATTAGATCCTGACTCAGTTACCTGTTACAATATAACTTCCTCACGACAATGGTCTTTTTGTTTAAGAAAATAATTTTGAAAATTTTGCTTTTGATTGTAGTACCAACCTAATAATGACAAACATAAATCGAATCTAGAAATAAATATATATATAAGTCTGAAAAAACAATAGAATAGAAAAAACAGAGAGAATTGCCAAGGTCTGATAAATTTTAAACTCTTCTCTTGAGACCTAAATCGACCAGGGCAGTGATAATACTCTTTAATAGTAGCCCCAGAACATCCCAAAACCACACTACATGTACTATTAATGGAGGTTTATACATAAAAACCAACCAACGGAGCCTAATTTCCACTTTATGGATATATGAAAACCTTCCTTAAAACTGCGGCAAGATAAACCGATAGCCGATTAGCTAATTATCAAATTAATTATATTATTGTCTGCCAATCTGTGTATTATTTTTAATTGAGTCATTGTTATTTGAACAAATGATATAAATAAAAAATAAACAGTATCAGTAGATTTACTTCTGAAAGTATATTTTGTTATTTTAGGTATTATAATTATCATGAAGTGGAAGAGACCAGAAAATATTCCAGTGGGGAGAGTATGGAGTAGTTTTAAAGGGAGAGAGAGAAACGGCCAGCCTGCAGAAATGTAAGACTGTTTGGACATATATATAGAACATAATACTAAAGAAAGCTTGTTATTTATCAACACTCTTATTGTGTTTAAAATTTATAGCATAAACATTTAAAATGTATTTAAAATAATTTTAATATAAAATCTATGACAATAAATCATTTTTATTAACACTACATATTGTGTTATAATACGTTGTGGTAGCCTAGAGGTTAAAGGTCCGCTTTTCGTACATGAGGGCGCGGGTTCGACACCTGGTAAGTATCAATGTGATGTTCCGAGTCATATGTACTTTATAAGAGTATTTAGACACCACTGACATATGAAAGAAAACATCGTGAGGAAATATGGACTTTAATATCAAATTATAAGATTGAAATCATCAATGCATTCTGAGCAAGCGTGGTGATTAATGCTCTAACCTTCTCCATGTGAGAAGAGGCAGCTCAGCAGTGGGTTCTGATAGACTGATGATGATGATTGTGTTGTGTGTGCCAGGTATCATATAGTGGACATGAGCGAGTCTGTAAGGAGACAGTGTCTCGACCTCATGCAGGAGACCTTCCTCCGTGATGAACCTCTCTCACTGGCATTAAGTATGACACTTATACATATAATAGGTCTTATACATTATTAAAGTTAATAATTAAATACTACATAATGTTTTTCAAGTCATTTGAAAACAAATACATTAATAGTAAGCGATGTTCTGTACCTTACTATAAGTTTGTTTCGCCACACTTCATACGATGAGTATCGAGTTTTGACAGTTTCAATGTTTATTGAAGAAATACTTGAAAAACTCCATATTTAGTGAAGTTAAGGAGGCTGGGAGATTCCTAAGGATATATTACGCACCATATCTAATAAAAAAAAAATCGTTAGACAAAATAGTGATTTAATTTTGTTAATTATTTATATTAAATGTGTTGTGTTCCGAGAAAATTAAACAGAAATAAATATTCAGTAAGCCTCAGTAATTAATACTATTAAATTAACTTAAGAATATTTAAAAACATTTTAATTTTCAGATATAAAGACAGACGAGGAGTCTGTTACGTCCATACGAAACAACTGGGAGGAGATGGTCTCACAAAACATTTCCATCGCTTGTTTCACTGAAGAAGATGGGAATAGCAAGGAACTGGTGGGATTCAACATACTCATCGTGAAGACCAAGGAAGACGGGCACGAGGAGTTTGAAAATGTAAGGTTCAGGTTTAAGGAATCCTTTGCAATAGTAATAGTACTGTCTTTTCTTCTATTTCTTTTCACATTGGTCACAGACACTCCAGTCTTTTAATTGCTCTATGTCTATTTCAATATATCGACAAATTTATTCATCAAATGAGGATAAATATTCAGGATCAACGTAGTAATATTGAAAATAATAAATAGTTTTTTTTTATGACAAAGAGGGCATATGAGCACATAGCCTACCTGATGGAGGTAGTACCGTCGCCCATAGACATCCGCAAAGGATGCGTTGCCACCCTTGATTGGGTAGGAAAGAGCGATGGGAAAAGGGAAATGGCAACCGTCTCTGTCACTCATCAGAAACGCATCCATTAAAGACTACTTCACGCCGATCTTCAGTGAGAGGGTACTTCTCCGGTCGAGACAGACCATGTTCGAGCTGTAGTAACTTGACTACAGCTAGGCTTTACCACCATAAATATTTTATTTTTTAGTACCTCACGAAATTAAGTTAAAACTGTTAAAATAGTTAGTTAATATTAAAACCCCTTTTAAAGACCTCCATACATTGAATCAAACATCCACCGACAAAACTATGATACAATTGTTCACTCCAAATTAAAAATAATGCGCGTTAAAATAGATTATAAAATTTACTTATATTCAACCAAAATACCGAAGAAACATTTCTTTGTGTTTCAGTTCGTGTGGTATAAATTTATTAGATGAAAATACGTTTTATGGTAATTTCGGCAGGCTTTGCTATAGGACAATGTTTTCCTCCACAGAGTTTCTTATACAAGAATAAAATCAGGGTTTATTTAAACTTGTCGTATCATATTCCTCGTAGAATCTATATCATGTGTATCTGTCGTCTATTTTCTATATCTACGATAATTGAATTAATGATTAACCCAATTATTAGAGATACATAGATTAATCATTAATCTATGTGTTTTGTACAACGTTCATAACTTACAAATATTTTTTTCGAACTTCTATCAAGTGGTACATAGTTTGTGGTTATTTAATGAACTATATAGAGGCGTTGTCTTTGGATGTTTATGCAAGTAAGCAGTTTTTAAGTAGGCATGATCACGGTTGCTGCAAAGTAATCGACTCGTCACTGTCACATAATTTGATTCGCTTCTATCTAATCATTGATTATGGCGATACTGTACTTGCTTTCATTTGTCCAGTCATTCTTTTTGGAATAAGATAAACATAAAATATTTCCCTCAAAGAAGGATAATTCCTTTAAAAAGAATGAAGTTAGATGCGTTAAGACCGAAATTAACTCTAGGGCCTTGTCTAAATCGCACTTGAATGGAGTTAATTCAATATTCCCTTTAAAATAGTGTCTGACTTGACGTCGTCGCTGATTCGGCGAGGAATAGTATGCTATGCTATGCTTCATAGACACGATGCCTTAAATTCTAGCAATCCATCCCTTCCCTATTCTCGCAAATCCCTAACTGGTAGTACGGATTTAGCGCTTCTTAGCTGGGCTGGTACACTTTGAACACATTAAAGGGAGTATGTAGTTAAAATAATTAAAATAGCATATGTACATACTATATCCGAATAATATATTTCAATAAACAATCGCGAAAGTTTAGTTCTCATTACATTAAAGACTTTTCGATGTCTATAGCCAGTTGTCAAAAGAACCTAAAGATTTGACAGACACCTTATAGCCTTATAGGCGGGAAATCAGTAGAAGGTTCATCCAAGGAGTATGGTCTCCAATATCTTTGACCTCTGTAGATCTATTTTATAATCACAAGTTTTAGAGACTTTTTTCATAGACCTATATCACATTATGAATTATTAAATTATTGCTAAAACATTATCTAAGAAAACTGATTAATATCGGTTATGCAATAAACAGATATTAAAGTAAGGCATGGAAAAATCAAAACTCAGTGTTATCACAATATGATTTCCTTTTATAATATATGCCATATAATTTATATGATAATTTTATTCACTTGTGATTTAAAATTTTATTTTTTTTTTACTAAAAAATATGGTCACAACATTACATATCGTACAAGTTATTTATTTTATAAGTAGTGTTATATTCACTAGAATGTAAAAATGGTAGCGTGTAATCAAATATTATTATTTTTAACTTAATAATTGAAAATTTCAATCAGTTGTTAACGAGATATTCAACAATAGTAGGTACCATTTTTATTGATTTTTAAAAATGCATATCATCTACATAACAAACTCATTCATTTGGATGATTGAGGGAATAAAACTAAATAATGTTCTTATTAAAATTATTTACCAAAACATTAACACAAAAAACTTTTCGATCAAATTCAATAAATATACAGTCATCTGGCGGAAAGCGATGCCGTCATATTGCCCGCCTGTAATGTGACATGCGATAGATGAACAAAAACTTACTCTACATATTAAAATAATTAGATTATTATAAATAAAATAAAAGACTACACCTTTCATAGTTACGTTATATATAGTTATCAACAGATATCAAATACATAACTTTAATCGTATTTCAAGGTGAAAGGTGAAAAATGGGAGAAGCTTCTAAAGACCCTCATCACGGCTGAGGAGCTCGTGGACATCTTCAGTCATTATGATGTTGATACTTACCTGTCTTCAAGCGGACTGACTGTGTCACCAGCTCACAGAGGGCAGAACATAGGAGCTAGGATGATACAAGTCAGGTGAGGAAGAAATCTTCACTAGTATGGTGTTTTAATTACCAAGATCATCTATTCTAATGTAACTTCATGTCATAAATACTATAGATTGGAATGTTATCATTATTAAGTAATAATTATCGAGGTGGTAGAGCCTAGCTGTGGTCATACTACAGCTCGAATATGGTCTGTCTGGTGGAAGTACCACCCTCTCACTGAAGATCGGCGTGAAGTACTTAGTCTTTAATGGATGCGTTTCGTCCGATGAGTGAGAGAGACGGTTGCTTTTTCCCTGTTTCCATCTTCTCCTGTCATTTCCTTATCCCCATTTCTCCCTATTCCTCAACAACAAGGCTGGCAACGCATCTGTAACATCTAATATGTTTGGATATCCATAGGTGACGGTGACTACCGCCCATCAAGTAAACGACCCCTCGTTTGCAACCTTTCTCATAAAAAAATATATTAGAATTACTCCTTTTAAATTAAATTTTTTGTTGCTTTTTTCCTATCGATTCACGAGGTCAAGTTATAAAAATTTCAATTCAGATTCTATTTCCTACAATCATATTATTTAATATCTATAATATTTCTTGTCAACAGAGAAGACATGTGCAAAGCTTTCGGTATTAAAGCCGCGTCAACCGTATTTACGGCCACTTCATCACAAGTTCTTGCTGCCAAATGTGGATACGAGGTGTTAGCCACGCTGCCCTACACTCACATGCTGCAGTATGGGATTGACTTAACTATGAGTGAGACGCCGGTCGCTAAAGTTATGGGAAAGAAATACGATTGATGACAATTGTTACCCTAGAAGGGTCATTCAAGTATTACGAAAGCACTATGAGCAGGGTCTTTGGTTTGCTTATTTTGGATGACTTGGGGGTAGGTTGTCTAGGTGATGATTACGTCATCGGTAGTAATTTACATTTTTATCGTCACATTAAGAAGATCCATAAAAATTAAACACGCATACTGATAGGATAGTTAGACCTGTAAGTCTAAAATAAAATAAATAAAATTTAGAGCACCGCGATGTTAAATAGAAAAAGTAGACATTCCAAAATCGGATGAAAGTGAGCAGACTCACAATCGTCGTCATCAGCCTATCAGAGCTCACTGCTTAGCAAAGGCCTCTTTCTCAGTTAGAGAAGGTTTGAGCATAAATCACCACGCTTGCTCAAGACGGGTTGGTGATTTCAAACTTATAATTGTGAAATTATAAGTCCAGGTTTCCTCACGATGTTTTCCTTCACCGTATGTCAGTGATGTCTAAATACTCTTAGAAAGTACACATGACTCCGAAAAATCACATTGGTACTTGCCAGGTTTGAACCCGCATCCTCGGCAACGAGGCGGGTCCTTTAACCACTGAGACTCACAATACTGTGCAGCAATCCAATGTCATCGGAAACTTAGCATCGTATTTTTGTTTCATGGACTGAAAACTTAATTTGAATTTAAAGTGTGTACCAAAAAATTAAATAAAAGCTTTTCTTACTTTTGTTGTCAAGAGGAATGGGAGGGTAAATAATTGTACTAAATCTGCTTACGTAATACTTGAATAGCCCCAGGGTAAAAAAACCTTGAATCATATATATATGATACGCTTTTTTATCCCAGTTAGAATGACAGTAATTTTTTAACTGTCTTCAAATATTTTTATATTCATTATAGGAAATATAATTTTAGTGTAAGAAATGAAACAAATATATAGTTTTTATGAATAATTTATTGTTACAAACAAATATACAAAAAAACACATACGTTTTATTTAATTTCACCTTTAAAATATAATGTCTTTGTAAGAAGTGTGTTTTATATTTAAAAATAAACGAAATATAGTCTTGTAGAAAATTTTAATAATTCATTTGGGAATATAAAGTTGATTTATAATACTTAATTATTACATAAATGCATAAAAATGCCTATTTTAATATAAAATATACGAAATCCATCGAGACTGGCAAGAGACCACTAAATTCAGTATTTTAAAGAGTATTTAAAAAAACAGGAATGTAATGCAGCAAAAGTCTAAAACAAAGTGGCGGATAACAACTGTCAATTGTCATTTTATGCTTCATTTTTATAAAATGTAAATTAACTATTAATATATTAAAAAACACGAGTATATTTATTAGATTAATAAAATACTTCCAAACTATAAGTATATAAGTTAAAAGATACTAAAACATTTTAATACAGAATCCTTAGAACAAGTTCGCGACGTTACACTATATACGCTACGTATAGTTTTCCAGTGAACGTAGTATTGAATGGAAAACGTGAAACGAAAAGTATGTAGTGTATGCAAACTTGTGGTACTTAAGCTGAGTTTTGCATTTGTGTGAGTGAAAAAAGTAGAGTTAGACAAAAAACTTTTAGAATTACATTTTAAATAAATAACATAAGCTATTCTAGATTAAAAATATAAATAAGCAAAACTTGTAAAAGGCCAAATGTAACTATGGAAAAAATATAATAAATATTAAAAATTTTGTAAAAAACTATACAAATTCTTCTTCACTTGACATTGTATATCAACATTTGTTTTTGCTATCAGTACAAAGGGCGAAGTGTTAAAGGTGCGGGGCGGAGTAAAAACAGAATAAACCGGTTCAAACTTAAAACCATGTTGCATAAACAAATTTGACATCACACATACACTATCCATACACTCACACAAACCTCAGCTCATGCCTCACTATATGCAGTGCCGGCGTTAGAGGTACTGACGCCCTGGGCAAGAATATTTTGGCGCCCGTTTGAAGAAATCAAAATCGAATATTAATTTTTTTCTGAACCAATGTGAACACTGAACGTGTATTAAGAATTCTATATTCCATCTACCATATTTCCTTTAGCATGACCCAGAGCTTACGACGTGGACGTAGAAAGTTATGTAGCTCCTATTGTTTTTTATTTATTTTTTTCATTTATATGTATCCGATCTCCACTAATCGCCCCCCCAAATTTGGCGCCCTGGTCCGTCGCCCCATCGCGCCCCCCCCTAACGCCGGCACTGTCTATAGGTTCATAAATACTATGTCATATATTCAATATATATATATATCTATCTCTTAAGTTTATCGTTCAACCATTCGTTAGTCAGGTCATCAATCTCCCTGACTTCCAATAGCCTCGGAGCCCCAACAGCAGCAGCCAACGCGCGTTGTGTACCAGCATACATCACCTGGTAATGTTAAATGTATCACATGTATGAAAAACACATATTTATATACATTTGAATGAAATCCCTACTAATATTATAAATGCGAATGTAACTCTGTCTGTCTATCTGTTACGCTTTCACCTAAACCACTGAACTGATTTTAATGAAATTTGCTCCAGAGATAGAGTAGACCTTGAGAAAGAACATAGGATAGTTTTTATCCCAGACTTTTGAAAGGTTCTCTTGGAAACGCGATATAACCGAACTCGAAGCGGGCGAAGCTGCGGGCGGAAAGCTAGTTGCTATTATAAAACAATATGTAAATGTATATATGTATATGTATATTTATATACATTTGAATGGAATCCCTACTAATATTATAAATGCGAAAGTAACTCTGTCTGTCTGTCTGTTACGCCTAAACCACTGAACTGATTTTAATGAAATTTGGTACAGAGATAGAGTTGACCTTTAGAAAGAACATAGTATAGTTTTTATCCCAAACTTTGGACAGGTTCTCTTGGAAACGCGATATAACCGAAAACCACGCGGGCGAAGCTGCGGGCGGAAAGCTAGTTACTATTATAAAACAATATGTAAATGTATATATGTTGCTAAAAATGTACCTATAGCATATCACAACTGTATATGAGATTGTTTACATAATTTATCTTGTTTCGTTGGCTTGCTTTATACGATATAAGCAAACGTCTTACATAAGTATTTCATAGAAATTCTTATTTAAAAAAAGGTAAAACATTAAAATTAATAATAAAATTAAAAGCCACCACCATTTTTTAAATTAAAGTTATTGTTAATCTTATCGAGTTACTGGAGACAGAATTGAGGTGTTTTAACCAAAAAGGCTGCAACTCAGCGTACTGCTGCAATAAATTTAGATTTATTACAGCGCTGGTTTTCAGTTGAAAACTGTTAATGTTTTGGATAATAATTCTGTTTGATCGAAAAAAAAAACTTAATAAATTCCAATATCTGGTTATTTACGGCCTCTAGGGCGGAATAGAGATTGCCCGGTCAGGTATACATATATTACTAATTCCAAAATTAACGCAAACGAAGTCGCGGGCAAAAACAGGTATATATAAGTATATAATATAAAACATACCTGCAACTCCATATGAGCATCCCTCGGTGTATAGAATATGAAACACATTGGAAATGATATCCGTCCGTCTGTGTGTTCCAGTTTATAACTGAAATTATATTTATACTATGAAATAAACAATAAATATATATATGTAGTATTCAATAAAACTATATTAAAGTCATGTATGTATAGTGATAAGTATCAAACTGCATGACAGCAACTAATATAATAATCTATTGCAGTGGCGGCTGTACCTTAAGTGCGCCCGTGCGCTGAACCACCAATTCAAAATATTTAAAAATTACAAAATATTATGTCATCTTAATTTTTAAATTACCATTTTAATATTTATTTTTTAAACATACAAAAAGGTATAAAAAATTTAATTTCCAATTATGGTCAAAAAGTTTGAGCGCTTTACTAAACTCATATCGTGCGCTCCGGCGAGTGCACGAGGACTGCTAATACATCTTGTATGAGACACGCATCAATACGCCTGGCGCGTGAGACAAAAGATAGTTCATAGAAATGAACCGAGTAACGAGTTCTCGCGCGCCGCACGAGCGGCCGAAGGTTACCGAGAGCACCCGATGTATGACGTATTGAGCCGGCCGGCAAGGGGCCGGCCGAAAGGATGGGTGCTATGATTGACATTTCGTTAATCGTTATTGGTATTGTTTCAACTTTCACTGTATGCGTGACGCGTTAATTCGTTATTGTTTATAATTATTTCCGTAATTCGTTTTAGTTTTTATTTCGTTTCTATAATAGAACTTTTATTCTGTACTGTGTTTTTTATTAGTTGAAAATGAGTATAAATATTGATTATATTAAAGAAAATAACAAAATTTTTCAAAGTAAAGTGAACATAAAAATGGCCGGGCCGCCACGGCCCTTTTTAAATTTAAAACAAGAGTGTAAATCGAAAAATAAAGCATTTATACGAAGTTTTAAAAGTGAAATGTATAATAGAAAGAAATGGTTGTGTGGATGTGAGCGTCTTAATACATTCTTTTGTTTTTCTTGCATTATTTTTGGCGGAGAATCGATTTGGACAGAAACTGGAATCAGATTTTAATAAAAAGGTGATAGAACATTTCGCTACAGAAAAATGTCGTCGCATTGATTTAATGTACAAAAAATAAACATATTTTATGTCAATTGTTGTTTTTGTCAATATTTTAGTAAAGTGAACCACCAGTTTGATAACCCACCAGCCGCCACTGATCTATTGACATTACACTTGACATCATATTATTATAATACCGAGCAATTATAACTAATTTATAACAGATGTATGTTTGTGTATTGTTATATTCTTCCTGGCAATCTCCCATCTTTAGCCAGGGTCTGCCTTACATATTATGAATAGTTTAGTCTAATTGTTTTTACGATTGGCTGCGTGCCTGACATCAAATTTCTTTGGGAATGCATTAATCGGTGATGTCTAAATACTTATAAAGTACATATAACTCAGAAAAATCACATTGCTACTTGCCCGGGCCAGGTTCGAACCCGCGCCCTCATGCATGAGAGGCGGGCCTTTTAACCGCTACGCTACCACTGACTTATTTTAACAATACCAAGCAAGCATAACTAATATATAACAGATGTATGTTTGTATATCGTTACATATTACCTGTAAACTATAAATCTGGGTTGGTGTGACGGCAATATTTCTTGCAAGTCCTCAAGTTCTATATTATCTAATTCATCATCAACTTCCAACGCTTGCTTGTCTCTGTTCACCTGGAAATTAGATTATAATACAATTAATATAACTTATATGTTAAAAGTCAGTGGTGGCCTAGTGGTTAAAGGGTCCGCCTCTTGTTGCCGAGGGTTCAAACCAGGCAAGTCATCACTGACATACGGTGAAGGAAAACAATGTGAGGAAACCTAGACTTATAGTTTCACCATTATAAGTTTGAAATCACTAACCCATCTTGAGCAAGCGTGGTGATTAATGCACAAACCTTCTCCATGTGAGAAAGAGGCCTTTGCTCAGCAGTGGGCGCTGATAGGCTAATGACGTATATGTTAATAAAATTGTTCTTAACTTGTATGTGTGTGTAATTATTGCATATTTTTATATAATTTTTTATTTGTGTGTATGTAAGGTACAACCAAATGTTCCGATTTCTGATACATCAATTTATAATCGTTTTCAAACAACTTTTTAATATATATATAGAACTTAAGATAATAATAAGTTGTTGTTGTACTGAAGCGTGAACATTTTATTAAGTTATTATGTAGCAAAAAATTTAACTTTATTGTTTCATTACAAATGCAATCTTTTTTAACCGCACTTGTATTGAAATTTTATAAGTTCACTTTAACTGTCATCTTCAATATAATGGAGTAATATTTGTGTGTTAAAGAATCAGTTACTTATATTAATATACCTAATAAGTACATTTTATAATTGTGTGTAGTAAAAAAAGTATTAAATAACTTTTCATTTGATTTGCAACTATTTCTGAAATGTTTCCCTGGATTATCGCAAATGCTTAGAGCGGAAATAACCGTTATAATCTATGTATGTACAAATAATTATGGAGATAAAAATTATGCAGTATGATAAGTCACAATAATTAACTAATCATCAGTGTATGGAGCTTTGGTATGTTCTAATATCCAGTTTTATCAAATAACTAACTAATTTACATCCATTAGTAAGTTATTTCATTTAACATACCTTTAATATCAGAGCACAGTTCGAAGTGTGTTTTTGGAAACGGAACTTCTTTAGTTTTTCCTTAACATCCTCACCAATATCACAGACGTTAACATTCTGACCCGACATAGCGGTTATTATATATTATTTTAATGTAATAATAAATAAAATTAATATTATAATAGTTTTATTAAATCTTTCAACAAGTATCAACACTAACACGAATCATTGATGCCTCAACAAATAATAACTATTGACGATAAGGAATAAGCCGATTACTTATCAAGTAATGACAGCGCTTAGTAACGTTTAGAAATTTTGACTTTAATAATTAATTACTTAAATTAATAAGATTATCTTATAATTGTGTAACTTAAACATATTAAATTTAAACTGATTATTATTAATATATTTATGTTCATAATAATTTAACAAAGTTTTTAACAACTGACACCCAGCTTCCGTCAAAATTCAAATATGTCCTGTCATATGTCACAATGTATTGTTGAATAGAAATTTTTCTATTTGAAATGTAATTTTAATAAAACACATTGTTTCCTTGTCTAGTAAATTTATTGAATGGCTGTATAACATAAAGCACAACCGTATGCACAAGTAAATTTAGTTAAGTGTTTATAAATGTGTGTTTTGATGTGAATTTTTGCAAATTTATGGAATAACATTCAGTCAATTGTGCTTAAGATATCAGCACGGCCTATTTAAGGGTCAACAACTGATAAAAAATCTGTGAGTGCTGTCAAATTTCCGAAAATATACATCTATGCAACTTTCACTTATTTCGCGGTCGTTTTGCATCGATCAACATAAGTAAAAGTTATTCTGATTCAAATTTCTAGAATCTGATTTGTTAAACTGGATTTAAATCACAAATTTAACATCCTAAATGAGAACTAATATAAACAATATATGAAATTAATGATAATATTTTCTTTTTACTGTAATTCATAACTAAATGGTAATTCTAACAAAATTTTTCGAAGTTTTCATTATATTTTAAATGTTTCAGATTTCAAGCATGAAGTAACAATATTATCATGGATGGTGCTTGTAAGTATTATTCTTGTAAACAACAATAAAAAACATATTAATAACTTATAAATACTTAAATAAGAATGTAAGTCATATTTGTTTACAAGCTTACATAAGTAAACTTCTATGTATTGAGTTTTTTATAATACTAAATAAAAATACTATAAAAATATAATATTAAACACAGTAGAATATGTATACATATATAATTATATATAATAAATATATTGTATATCCTTTTACACATAGAATATTTTACTATTGAATTTAATTCCTATTATTATATTTTTGTTTATATACTTATATAAATATATTTCTTTCTTTTTCCTCCTCATTTTGTAGACCAAAACCCTGCTCTTGTTTTTTTATCAAAAGGATTTCTTTTAAATATTGTTATCAAGAGATAAGTTATCCTTTCTACATCACATTTCTTATGTAATGTAATTATTGCTAGTTTTTGATACATAAATAAATTATATATATATATGTATATATATGTATTCTACTTATATTTCTTGTCCATACAATCTATATAATGTATTAAGTCTTAATTGATTACATATCAAAGATAATTGTGTATATTTATAACATGTATCCAAGGGTAATGTTCTGTCTCGGTAAAGCTCCTCTATATAATCTTTATCAATATAATCTGATGATTAGCTATGAGGATTTGCTACTTGGTTTAATTTTTGGTAAAATAAGTATAAATTATTTGAACAAAAATGTATTGAACTGATTTTTAATGCCTATGCGTATGTATACACTTACAAACCCACAATATATATACTAGCTGCGCCCCTCGGTGTTACCTGCAGATTTCCGGGAAATAAAGTAGCCTATGTGTATGTTATTCCTGGACCACAGCTTCCTGTATACAAAATTTTATCAAAATTGAAGAAGTAACAAACATACACACACACCCACAAACTTTCACAATTATAATATTAGTAGGATTTATATATATTATTTCCGTGTTTCAGGTGAGTCGGCGGAAATGTCTGAGAAAGAGAAACTCAAGTAAGTCAATAAAATAGTTTGAAAATACATAAATGACAATTAGATGAACATTAAAATGAATATAAATTGATAGCTCAACTAATTTATATAATACTTACACAAATATAAATTTATATAACATTTGTCTGTCCGTTTGTTAATATATAAAAATGATGGAATAATTTTGATGAGTATAACACTCGCAGGTAGGTAAATTCATAAGGTGTAACTTAGTTTACTTGTGTATTAGAAATTTTAGTTACTATTATTAACAATATAAAAGAACTGGAATGGGAACAAAAGTCGCGGACACAGCTAGTTAAGGATATATGTATATATTATTTAATTTATATTATTTTTTTCGTATTGAGCTATTTTAAATGAGGATGTAGTAGTAAAGTGGTATGTCTATTGGGCGATAGATGGCGTGTTAATTAAAATACATTATAATACTTTCTTAACGTTTTTCTTAAATACTTTATAAATATATGTGATATGCAAAGTGTGTTTAAAAATATATATTATTTTTTTAAAGTAATAATACTACATTAATTTATATATATTCCGGTTTTAATAATAGCGCCATCTATCGACTAAGTGACAGTATTTGATCTATATTCTATACTATTATCAAAAGTTTTCATCGTCACTACACACGTAGCGTTAACAGTTTTTCATTCATAACTTCACACATTATAGTATTAACGTAGTATTGAATGAGAAACGTGAAACTATACGTATGTAGTGAATGAGAACTTGTGGTAAGCATACTAAACACAATATTGAAAATGTAGAGACAGTATGGGAACTGCACAGAAACAAATCCTTTTCAAAAATTAGGTGAAATTTAAATTACGTAGTTAATTCTATGACGTATCACTGTTAGTACTTAAATATTTATTATTTTTACAAATTTCTCATTTATAGTATATATGAAAGTATTTGTTAAAAAAAAATCTGCAATAAATTAGATGTCTTTTAAGATTTGAACCCCCATACTTATTTTGCTTGTAACTTGCCTTTCACTGTACCACGTGGTTGCGAATCAGAATAATGACAATGAATTTTAAACCATATTTCTTTTTGATAAGGTCTTTTTCATAACGATGAGTTTATAATTCTGATACTTCTATAAACGATTTCAATGGCGAGTAATGAGACTAGTGATGGCAAGGCGACGTTTTTGTCGATGTCGATAAATTTACTATCGATAGTTCAATATTTATATATAATATTATTTCATATAATTATATAATTATATGAAATAATATGTTTGAACTCGATTAGCTATGGCTCCTAAATTGAACCATAATATATGTCAGACTTTTCCCATTTTAACTCTATGGTATAGCAGGAGTAATTTTTCCTAATAAGATCTGAAATTTTCTTTATTATTTGGACCCTTACCACAAGTTTTCATACACTACATACGTATAGTTTCACGTTTCTCATTCAATACTACGTCAATACTATGAAGTGATGAAGATATGAATAAAAAATTGTAAAAGCCCCTTGCAGTGTATCCGAAAACAGGGTAATCCCACAATTATGTTTTTATATTATATATTTGTATTTATATTACGTTAAATGATAACACGATACAGTCATACACATATATTTGTTCTAAGCTTGTCATTATTTGCGTTATCAAGCTATTTAAGGAAATTAGATTCCTATTCTCAAATTTTTACTAATATATGTCACGATTTTTTAACGAAAAACCATTAACGTTACGTATTTAGTTTGAAAATGTATACTTCTGGTAAGTATATTTTATGCCATAATGTCTTGTAAAATTGAATCCTGCTAAGCACATTAACCTGATAATATAATTAGTCTATCAGAGCCCACTGTTCAACAATAACCTCCTCTCACATGAAGAAGGTTAGCATTAATCACCACGCTTGCTCAAGACGGGTTGGCGATTTTTAACTTAAATTGTAAATTAGAAGTCCATGTTTCCTCTTCATATTTTCCTTCATCAGTCAGTTATGTCTAAATACTCTTAGGAAGTACTTGATAAGATTAGCCGGATACATTTTATCGATATCGAGTATATCAAAACTATCGATATCTCTTAGAGGTTCAGTCACAGCACTATTATATCCGAGGTCTGAGACAGAATTGCCGTCAGTAGTGAGTAGTCGCTCGCGGGAGTATGTACTCGTCGTATTAAAAGTGAAAGTTTTTTTCGCGTCACGTGAATTATTTCAATATAATTTCCAATTATTTATTTCTGTGATGTGTGTATGTTTGTGTTGTTCCGATATTTGTTAGTTCCAAAGTGGTTTGTAGGTATTACATACATACATGTTCCCGCCTTCATCTCTCAAGATGCTGTGATATGATGGAGATATTGAGAGATTTATCTCTTTAAAAAGTTATTAATTTTAGCATTTTTGTTAATTATTTTTTTCTAATTATTTCCTAATATTACCCAATGTTATGTATAAGGAAGTTTCGTAGTTTATATAAATACATTATGTACCCGGACGTTTAGTCATATAATATAATTATTTAACCGACTTTATAAGAAGTAGGTTGTGTATGTACGTTATCTATAGTCTAGACTTGTAAACATTTCTAGACTAGATGTCTCTTATCAGGTAGTTAGTTAGAACATAATTGACTGTGGAAATTAAGTTTGAAATGCATTTTCTAAAACCTCGTATAATTGTTTAATGAAATACCTATTTTAATTAACTGAAATAAGTACAAAATGTACTTCTTTTACATTATTATTTAGTTTTCTTCTAATATTTCAATATATTTTTATATAAATGTCCTAGAGTAAGTGGTGGCCTAGTGGTCAAAAGCCCGCGTCTGATGCATGTGGGCGCGGGTTCGATCCTGGCAAGTATCAATGCCAAAACTATTCACAACATGTAAGGCAGACCCTGGCTAAAGCTGGGAAATTACCAGGAAGAAGGATATGTCCTGTCGTTTTTTTGTCAGGATATCCATATAGGAAATATTTTATTAAAATGTACTATAAGTACTTAGTACGAGTTTCAAACGATACAGTTTTAACGATAGTGCTAACGTTTTTATATTTCGTATTTTTTTTTCAGCAACTTAATACATTTTAATGTAGGTAATACGTTTAAATTGACAGTTTTTTAAGTTTATAATGTTCTAGTTGTGTCTATCCTAAGATTTAGATTAAATAAAATGAGTGCGAAATCTTATATACAGAAAAGTAATTATATTATACATAATAAAATGTTGTATATATACTTTGAAATTTTTATGTATAGTTTTTTATATAAACATTTCCAGACTTAATAAGTTAAAAAACATTGAGTTATATTCATCTCGGATTGTAAATAAAATAATAAGAATTACATAAATTCGTTACAATATAAATTAAAACATTACAACATACATCCTTACCACGAGTTGTTAAAATCCCTACTAATATTATAAATGCGAAAGTAACTCTGTCTGTTACGCTTTCACGCCTAAACCACTGAACTGATTTTAATGAAATTTGGTACAGAGATAGAGTTGCCCTTGAGAAAGAACATAGGATAGTTTTTATCACAGACTTTGAAATGTTCTTTTGGAAACGCGATATAATAACTCCACGCGGGCGAAGCTGCGTGCGGAAAGCTAGTTAACTATAACTATAACTACAAACGTTGCGTGCTCAGTAACTAACTATGTTTACTTGTGGTGTCAGCTTCATTAAAATGAATTTATCCAAATAATACCATTTTCAAGATATTTCTAATTGAACAAACATTATAATTAATATTAGTGAGCCGGATTTAAAATTCTTCCTATCAACTAAATACATATATATGAGAAAGTCGTGTTAGTTACACTATTTATAACTCTAACGGCTGTACGGGTTTGGATGAAGGTTGGTGGAGAGATAGATTAGAACATAGAAAGGACATAGGATTTACATACGATTGAAATAGAAAAAAAATAATTGGACCAAATCAAAAATCTTCTTATCTACTGTCTTTAAGGAGGAATAGAGTTCGCCCGGTCAGCTATACATTCGAATTACGATACTAATGCGGACAAAGTCGCGGGCGAAAGCTTGTATATAATGAGATGTAAGTGTTTACAGTAATGACACACGGACAATACATATTTACATTTCCGTCTTTGTTTGATATATATATATAGTAATAAACTCGAGTCATTGTTCACTTTTATTTGTTTACGATTGTAATTATATTAGATATATTGTACATATATGTTGTATGTTGAGGCCACTTTTAATATGTCTCAGATATAAACTATGCCTTTGTAATATATTTAATCAATTTCGTTCTAGTATACTAGAAGTATGATATAGTATTTATAACGTACTAGCTGTTACACGCGATGAAAAAATAAACAATGAAAAACCTTCAATACTTAATCGGGATAAAAAGTAGCCTAAGACACTCCTTATTACATCAGCTACCTGTCAGTTAAAGTCCCGTCAAAATCGGTCCAGCCATTACAAAGCTTAGCCGGAACAAACATACAGACAGACGGACAAAAATTGTAAAAATTATTTGTTGTACGTGCCGTATATATATTTATATGTATGTAGTAAAAAACGGTTTCAATGTTACAAACAGACTCCAATTTTATTTATTTGTATAGATTATTTTCATGAACACTAATTACTAAATGCAATAGATTACACCAAAACCGGTTCGTTCAAAAACTATAACACGCAATGATCTGACCCAAAAGATTTTAATAAGAATTGAACGTAATTTCAACCAACAGTGAAAGTAGTTATTCAACAACTTTGACGCGAATCGTTTCAATTTGTCAATACTACGTAATTTCCGCGGCTTTGCTCATGGTTTTTAACTTGTTTTATCTATTTTCATAATGAGATCTAAGACTTTCGCGAGTATTTTAATGAAACTAATATTTTATGATTACTATGCTTTTTTTAATTTTAACTACATACTACGTTTCGGTTACTTTACAACAACCGTGATCATGAAGACGAGATGAAAATGTCTCATTTTCATTTATTTATTTTATAATAACATTAACTTAGAAATGTAGAGAGTACATGGAATGAAAATTTTACGTGGTTAACGGTCACGGTTACAAAACTTACCTTATTAGAAACTAATTTCTAAATCTTTCGTCTCCACTCGGCAATCTTCGGCCTTGCTCGGTAATCTTCGGCTTCCCTCGGCAATCTTCGGCTTTTCTCGATATTTTTCGTTCTCTCTCGGCAATTTTCGTTTCGATAATTTTAGGTGAAGGTTAAAAGCTAATTTTTAACTCGTTACCAGTAACAAAGATATATTGATAATGTTTTTCGTTACTTGAATTAATTGAATATATGTTATAATATATAACTCTCTAACCTTCGAATGTCACTATTTTTATAAATGAATGTTAAAAAATGGTACATTCTTATCATATCTAAAACAATATAATTTTATACACCACTCACGTTTAGTATAACAATTTTACGACGAGGATATTTCTAAGAAATATTTGACTGATATACCTAAAGTTCATAATAATTACAAATATATAACATTTACTAAAGAATCTATATAAAAATATGTATATAAAAATGAATTGCTGTTCGTTAGTCTCACTAAAACTCGAGAACGGCTGAACGGGATTATATTATCTTAGTCTTGAAATGTTCGTGGAGGTTCAGGGAAGGTTTAAAAGCTGAAAAAAAATCCTAAAAACAGCCCTTTTCTATTTCCCATACAAACGTTTTTTTTGACATTAGATTTAACAACTAACTAATATGTCAATCATTCTGTCGCACTTTAAAATACGGACAAATAGATTAGAACAAGGAGATCGACATGGGATATTTAATTGTGTTCGATTGAAACAGGAAAAATTTAATAAATACCAATACTCGGTTATTTATGGCCTCTAAGACGGAAGACAGTTCGCCCGGTCAGCTATACATATATTACTAATGACGAAATTAACGCGGACGAAGTCGCGGGCAAAAACTAGTAGATATATAGTATAATTAAAATTTAATGTTTTCATTTTATCTTAATTGTTAAAACACATTCGGTAGCCGTAATATTCATTATCAGTTGTAATTATAAATATATTGCGGTTTACGTACAGATAAAGAAATTCACACAGATCGCTACCAAATATATGAAGATAAGGTCTAGTATTGTTAGTGACCTGACCCATGACCTTTGACCTCCAGCTGAGATGATGATAGGATGAACTGAACTGATCTAAGATATAAGTATTAAATAGAGACGAAACCTCTCATCATTCCATGTATTCACGGTGTGTGTGTCGGGTCCATCGTTGTAGTGAGAGGAGCTTCAACAGTGACTGGGACTTGTGACCCAGGTGTAGGTTTAATATATATAGAGAGACGAAACCTCTCATCATTCCATGTATTCACGGTGTGTGTGTCGGGTCCATCGTTGTAGTGAGAGGAGCTTCAACAGTGACTGGGACTTGTGACCCAGGTGTAGGTTTAATATATATAGAGAGACGAAACCTCTCATCATTCCATGTATTCACGGTGCGTGTGTCGGGTCCATCGTTGTAGTGAGAGGAGCTTCAACAGTGACTGGGACTTGTGACTCAGGTGTAGGTTTAATATATATAGAGAGACGAAACCTCTCATCATTCCATGTATTCACGGTGCGTGTGTCGGGTCCATCGTTGTAGTGAGAGGAGCTTCAACAGTGACTGGGACTTGTGACCCAGGTGTAGGTTTAAATATATATAGAGAGACGAAACCTCTCATCATTCCATGTATTCACGGTGCGTGTGTCGGGTCCATCGTTGTAGTGAGAGGAGCTTCAACAGTGACTGGGACTTGTGACCCAGGTGTAGGTTTAATATATATAGAGAGACGAAACCTCTCATCATTCCATGTATTCACGGTGCGTGTGTCGGGTCCATCGTTGTAGTGAGAGGAGCTTCAACAGTGACTGGGACTTGTGACCCAGGTGTAGGTTTAAGGGACCCCTAACTAATGCGTTAAACGCTCACCTCCATCGACCAAGCTCCTCTCTCTAACAAATTTGAAACGAACCTACTAGGGTTGCCTTTGAAGTATGTTCTAAGAATGAATTGATATCAGTTCTGGACAAGCCCAAGTCTTTTAGTAGGTTATATTACTAATTAAAGTACTTAAAATATATTTAATAATAATATTCCCTTACGTTTTTAGTTAACTTACATACCAACAGTTTGACGGTATGATAGCGTAATGAAACTCAAAACTTGCAGTATTTTCGTCTATATGTAATTCAGTACATAGTCTAATAACTATATATAACGATTTAAAACTAGTGTTTTGGTGGTTTTACATACATATAAATATACAGACATACAAGCAATATCTCTTCTTCTTCTGCCTGTCAATTTCCTTTACATGTTGTAAATAGTTTTGGCTAATTGTTTTTACGACCGGCCGCCTGCCTGACATCAACCCTCTTTTGGAATGCATTAATCAGTGATGTCTAAATACTCTCAGAAAATACACAAGTATTACCTCTTATCATTTGTTATCATTCAGTGATATCCTGGTATCAGTAATATAAGATAGGTACAACATATTTACGTGCTTCAGTGCAAAATAATATTTCTTCCCACTGTGTATATTTGAATTTATTATGTACTCAAGAAATATGTTTTATAACTAAAATTAAATACATTTATAAGTGGTAATAGTTTGTTTGTGTAAGCTATCATGTTTATTTTGGTTATTTAAGTAAATATAGATATCGTATTTGTGTAATAGAAATCATTTTCAATCGTGTATCTTCGGTAATTTTCGTGTCGCCGAAGATTCCCGAATAAGAAACGTGATACTGTCGTTAGTCGAACTCGTACTAAATAAAATTTAAATTTTACACAAACATACACACAGATTATAAGTTTTTATTATAAATTATTATTATATGATAGTGAAAATCAATAAAAATCAACGATAGTGTTATCGAATTAGAGCATCGTGGTATTAAACGGAATACAGTGAGAAATAAGAGTGATTTTAATGAGTGACAAACTATGAAGTGAGTGAAAATGCTGTCAAGAGGAGTGAAGTACAAGTTATTGGAGGATGGCGATGGGTGGGTATATAAATATATTAAAAAATTTATAGAAAAGTATGTCAAAATTAATTTGTACTACTGTCACGATGGCTCAGTGGTTAGAGAGACGGCAAATACTCTGAAAATAACATAGGAATAGCTAGAGATAAAACCTCTCATCATTCCATGTATTCACGGTGCGTGTGTCGGGTCCATCGTTGTAGTGAGAGGAGCTTCAACAGTGACTGTGACTTGTGACCAGGGTGTAGGTTTAATATATATAGAGAGACGAAACCTCTCATCATTCCATGTATTCACGGTGCGTGTGTCGGGTCCATCGTTGTAGTGAGAGGAGCTTCAACAGTGACTGGGACTTGTGACCCAGGTGTAGGTTTAATATATATAGAGAGACGAAACCTCTCATCATTCCATGTATTCACGGTGCGTGTGTCGGGTCCATCGTTGTAGTGAGAGGAGCTTCAACAGTGACTGTGACTTGTGACCCAGGTGTAGGTTTAATATATATAGAGAGACGAAACCTCTCATCATTCCATGTATTCACGGTGCGTGTGTCGGGTCCATCGTTGTAGTGAGAGGAGCTTCAACAGTGACTGTGACTTGTGACCCAGGTGTAGGTTTAATATATATAGAGAGACGAAACCTCTCATCATTCCATGTATTCACGGTGCGTGTGTCGGGTCCATCGTTGTAGTGAGAGGAGCTTCAACAGTGACTGTGACTTGTGACCCAGGTGTAGGTTTAATATATATAGAGAGACGAAACCTCTCATCATTCCATGTATTCACGGTGCGTGTGTCGGGTCCATCGTTGTAGTGAGAGGAGCTTCAACAGTGACTGTGACTTGTGACCCAGGTGTAGGTTTAATATATATAGAGAGACGAAACCTCTCATCATTCCATGTATTCACGGTGCGTGTGTCGGGTCCATCGTTGTAGTGAGAGGAGCTTCAACAGTGACTGTGACTTGTGACCCAGGTGTAGGTTTAATATATATAGAGAGACGAAACCTCTCATCATTCCATGTATTCACGGTGCGTGTGTCGGGTCCATCGTTGTAGTGAGAGGAGCTTCAACAGTGACTGTGACTTGTGACCCAGGTGTAGGTTTAATATATATAGAGAGACGAAACCTCTCATCATTCCATGTATTCACGGTGCGTGTGTCGGGTCCATCGTTGTAGTGAGAGGAGCTTCAACAGTGACTGTGACTTGTGACCCAGGTGTAGGTTTAATATATATAGAGAGACGAAACCTCTCATCATTCCATGTATTCACGGTGCGTGTGTCGGGTCCATCGTTGTAGTGAGAGGAGCTTCAACAGTGACTGTGACTTGTGACCCAGGTATAGGTTTAAGGGACCCATATCTAACGTTAAACGCTCACCTTCACCGTACAAGCTCCTCGTCCAATTTGTTTTCGTATCTGTACCGTAGTAACATACAAACATTCATATCGATAATAATTTTAATCTTATTTACTTTATAATAAATAAATATGGATTTTCAGTGTTTTGCAGTTTAATAAAATATTAACATGGCTTTAAAACTACATGTAAATATGAAATTTCGTATGGATGTACGTTGTTCTGTTACGCCAAAACTACTGAATTGATTTTGATGAAACTTTACAGTTATGAAGCTCAGACATCAGAATGGGATATAGACTATATCCCTTCTCTCCTTGTAGTTCCCGTAGGATTAAGAAATAGCAGTTATATAGTGTGTGAAGTACCTGACATATTATATATGTCGCTTACAATATATGTATATAGTTTTTATATACTTTATATATATTTCTCTGTGAGTAACATTCCAAAATAAATAAGGATAAAGTAGCGGGCATAAACTATTATATGTAATCTCAAGTGTTTGTGGTAAAAAAGATCATAAGTAATACTAGAATGTACTGCATTACGATAATATCACCAAGATATTTGAAATAATATAAAAAATACTAAAAAAATATTTTTATATTTGGTTTATGTATGGTGGTGAAAAAGTTGGTTAACTTTATAAAGATTTTATGTAGTCTATGATAAAATCTATGGTAAAGCATAAAAAAATGTTTTGAAGTCTTTTGGTGCTGTAACAAATATACATACATATATCCATATCTCCCGTCATAGAAGTGGGTTTCGTAGATAGATTAATTTCTGATTTACCACTACAGGGTGACTGGTGAATTACTATCGATATTTGAGGACGTGATATTTGACGATCATATATGACAAAATAAAAATTAATATAACATAAATATTAATAAACTTCTAAGTAAAGTTAACCAAAAGTTATGTAATTAATTACGCATCGTGTGAACACCCTACAGATTAGGTATACACACACACACACACACTCGCGCGCGGCGGCGTGTTGTTGTATTAGCACGCCGCCGCACGCGTTCACACTTGGAACACTTGGAACGTGTCCACACTTTATTTATTTATACGGAAATTTGGTCAAAAATTAAGTACCTATTTTTTTTACATAATTCGAATGAGTATCATGTACCGAGCATGCTCCTTAAATATTGATAGTAATTCACCAGTCACCTGGTATATACAAACATATGGTAAGTGCGGGTAGTTGTATATAGTTTTTCTTAAATTCTGTAAACGCAAAAACTTACATGTTCTTATGGAAATTTGTAGTTGTGATTGGACTTTCAACAAGCGATAATAAAATTATAATAGCCAAAAAAATGTTATCTATTACCTACACTTAAAAATATTTATTTTCTTTTATATCACAATGCCCATTTGGGAGAACCCAAGCATTATAATGGCCACTGTTTAAAAGTAAAAATGTCATATCATTAATTCTTTTCGTAGTATAGTTTTAGGTCCTATTCCTTATTTTTTGAGGATTTTTTCTCTATACCACAACCAAACCACATTTTAAAATTGAGTATAATTTTCGTGAACCCAAAACTGACACTATATTGAAGCCAGTCCGCGCAAAGATTAATTTCATAATAATTTTCTCTATAATATAATAAACGATTATCTATTTCATTTAACGTTCTTATTCTTATTTGCTATAAACTAATAGCACTTCGTCATGCTCTTAGATAATCTTCGTCTTTTTTTCCATTGATTATACTACTAGGTACCTACAAGTACTAATCTATTTTAAACTAGTTTTTGCCCGCGACTTCGTCCGCGTTAGTTTGGTCAAGAGTAATATATGTAGGTATAGCTGACCAGGCGAACTCTATTCCGTCGTAGAGGCCATAAATAATCAGCTTTTTCCTGTTTCAATCAAACAGAATGATTGACATATTAGTTAGTTGTCAAATCTAATGTCAAAAAAATCGTTTGTATGGGAAATAGAAAAGGGCTGTTTTTAGGGTTTTCCCGGCAATTATTCCAATTTTTCTCACCTTTTAAACCGTCCCTGGACTTCCAAGAGTATTTCAAGACTAAAATTAGCCAAATCGGTTCAGCCGTTCTCGAGTTTTAGCGAGACTAAGGAACAGCAATCCATTTTTATATATATAGAAGATAGAAGATTAATGAACATTTGAATTCGTTTATATGCTGAGCTTTGTTGATTCGTTGCTTTAATAGATTTATACATTCGTAAGCAATTTTTCTATTGCCTCTAACTACTGAATTTCGCTTGTATTTATTAATTACCTAAAACAAATAAAAAATATTAGTATAAAATAGTATACTATAGTTTCGATCCCGGTATAAAATGGTCATATGGCTATCATACACAGACTAATGTAAGCCACCTATCCTTTTCCTCCGGGAGGGAAAACCACACCTAAAAAATGAGCCCAATCGAAGTCACAAAATGATGGGAGTAATTTCAAGGCTAGGAATAATATGACTGATACACTTTGCAACCAAACCAAAAACAATCATTAGTTTAGGAAACCAATATCACAATAACTTGAAATAAAAACTCTATAAAATATTTCTACTACACAAAACAAAAAAAATAATACACAAAAAAATTATACCGACCTTCGCTGTTACGTAAATAAGGATTCAAACTAAACTTTTACTAGTGACATCTATACAATATTTCAGGAATTATTAGTATGGGCCACCTCTTATGTAAATCTACCTTCGAATTACCCTATATAAGAAATACATAGTATTCTTTAATAGTATTTATTATAAGTGACCTTTAGTATATGTGATTTGATTATCATGATGAGCTTGACCTTTAATATAATAATGACGAACAAACACACAGTCTATAATACGTGTGATATATGTATTAAGAGGTATCATGTGATATATTTATCAGTATCACACAAGATCGTGTGATAAAGATAGTAGATCTGTATACTGGATAATGTTTTACGTAATTGGTAAGGATTTTCGATTTGTTCTCTATGTGAATGAATTTAAACACATACATACATACACCCACGAACACACAGACATATATAAAAACTAGCTGACCCGGCAAACGTTGTTTTGCCATATAAAAATAGGGGTTGGTGATAAAAAAGTAAAAATTTTGGGGTTGTATGTATTTTTAATGCTACATTATGAAAAAATAAAAACCAAAAATTTCGTCCGAAAATAAATTAAAAATTAATTGTGAAAAATCCTTATGACTTAGGGGTACGAAAAATAGATGTTGGTCGACTCTCAAACCTAGTCAATATGCTCACAAAACTTCATCAATATCGGTCTAGCTGTTTCGGAGGAATTCTCTGTATAACACTGCGAGACGAGAATTTTATATATAAGATTATTTTCTAGTACTATGTCATACATCTCCCTTTTATGCTTAAAACTTACATAAAATTAAGAATTCAATACGAGTGAAGTCACGTGAAAAACATAGTGTTCCATAGAGATGGACGCTAGAAAAAAATCTTGTAATACTAGACGAAGATTCTCCTTTTTTATCAAGTTATTTATAAAGATTGTATATACGGTTTTTCCATGGGTTTTAACCAACAATACACTGAATAAAAAAATTATCACATACACGCGTTTTAAATAGTTCTTCCACTAGTTGAATACTTATGAGGATTTTACCGATTTTATATAATA